GATGGCGTCGCAGCCGTGTTCGGACTCATGATTTCTCAAGCTCATGCCTCACCTCCTAACTGCCCTGGTCCTAACCGCCTAAGGAACTAGCCCCGAAATAAGCAGCCGTGTTGTGGCAGCTGGCCGGAATAAGGCCGTTAGCTGTTTGGAAATGAGCCTAGCGGCCAGGAAAATAGCTAACATGACTAATAGGCTCGTCTTTGCTGTGGGCTATGGCCTTGCCTGGCGCATGGCCAACGGTCTGTCATTCATGATTCATCACATCTCTGGCGGCCGTTGTTCCAGCCCTGGCGGCTAACTCGATCGAGGATCCCAACACTGCGCCATTCGCCATGGTTGGTGTCGGACACGCGCTAGGCTGACGTCGGGAGCTCGGGTCGCGACGAATCCCACTACGACAGCTGCGAGGCCATGACTATGTCATGCGGTATAGCGTCATATGTCTTTTTTTTTTTTTGGCGCCCTGTAAAAGAAAAAAAGGGAGAGAGCCAGAGAGAGAGGTAGCCGGGTCGACTTGACAAAACGGCTTACAAGGGCCCATGGCGGCCAGCGACTCATGCTCGCCTCGCGGGAAGCCCAACTCCCGCTGCAGCCTATCAATTGCTGTCGCAGCCCTGCGTGGGCGGTGTGCGCATCGACCACACCCTTCTCGCCTTCCAGGGCTGGGCAGAGTTGCGAATTTGACTTATTACTGGCCGTTTTCTCCGTCCAAAATGTCGGGCCGGGCCAGGACTGAATCGCGTCGAATCCATCGAAGCCTCAGTTGAGTTTTTTTTTTCCCACACCGTCAGTAACTGCACGGAGGTTCCTAACGCATCATTGCGTTCTGTTGAGGAATTAGGCCCTGATTACTCAGGTTTGCTGGCACGTGCTTCTAGTCAAAAGATGAGAAGGGTCGAGGCACAAAGAGAAGAGAAAAAAAAAGAAAAGAAAGAAAATGCGACACCCGATCGCTGGATTTCCTCTTTTGGCCTCGGACATGGATGGCGAAAATCTCTGATCTGGATCCACGCCCATCGTCACTCGCTTATTACTCACAGGCGGCCCCGGCCGGGGATCAAAGGGGGCCCCCCATGGCCATTTCACCGTAGCATTCGCAGTCCTGGGCCAAGCAGCGGTATCCTGACATGCGGCTGTCGAATCGGTGAGCCTGGCACGTGCCCCGACGAACGGCACTGCCAGAGCAAGCAGCCGCAGGCTTTTTCCTTGTCACCTCCGGGTTTGATAGAGCTAGCGCCCCAAGGTCCGTCAAAGCCAAGCCGTCCGTACTCTGTCGTGCGCAACCCTGTCGAGCACACGCAGTCGGTCAGGGGCATAGGTGAGCCCGCGCATTTGCGTCCGAAGGGGTCTTCCTCGCGGCCAATGAACACATTACGACTCGAGTCCTGTCTGCTGCCCTCCGAGACGTCCCAGAGGTCTGTTTTAGCCTAAATACGGTCCCAAAGGACTCAACTGCATCAGCGTCGTCCGAAGCTGCCGGCAAACTATACTGAGGTTGCCTCCACCGCTCGCCTGAGTCATCTTAAGCAGCGGTACTCTTGCCTTTTTGGAACCCCCCGACGGTCTATACAGTTATACGACCAGATACCGTCTCGGAATACAGATGTCGCAACCGCTTCCGCAATCGCCCGAGGGCGCCACCATGGCTGACGTGGAAAAGGGCGCCGTTCCGGACCCGAAGGCCATCGTGGAGGTGGCCGATGTCGAGGCCTCGGGGCCCAAGCACGGCCAGGCCCCGAGCACGCTTGCCGGCCGCGTCCGCCAGTTCCTCCTGGATGCCGCCCGCTCCGGGAGGCTAGAGGGCCGCGGCATCGCCCCCGTGCCGCCCGAGGAGAGGACCATGAAGAAGACGGTGACCGTCTTTACGCTTTGGTGGACCATGAACACCAACATCTTGGGCGTCATATTTGGCATACTGGCGCCAACAGTCTTCGGCCTGCAGCTGCGCGATGCCGCCCTCATCATCCTATTCTTCATGCTCCTGACCGCAACCCTGACCGGGTACTTTTCGACCCTCGGGCCCAAGACTGGCATGCGCCAGATGGTCCAGGCGAGATACAGCTGGGGGTGAGTGCATTCGAGCCCTCGCCGGTTCGTACGGGAAGGAGAAACGAGAGAAAGAAAAGGTACTCCAGACTGACTTCAACCCACCACTCCCAGGCGTTATCCCGTCACCCTCCCCGTGATCCTCAACCTGTCCACCATGGTCGGGTTCATGCTGGTGCAGTGCATCATCGGCAGCCAGTGCCTCTCGGCCGTCGCCAGCGGCTCCTCGGCCGGCGGCGACGCCATCGTTAGCCAGAACGCCGGCATCGTCATCATCGCCCTGCTGGCCCTCTTCATCTCCTTTTGCGGCTACCGCGTGCTGCACGTCTACGAGCAGTACGCCTCAATCCCCGCGGCCATCGCGCTTGCCATCGTCGCCGGCCTCGGCGCCGCCGGCTTCCAGCGGCCGCTCCCCGAGCCGAACCCGCCCGCGACGGTGGCCAACACGCTCTCGTTTGGCATGATCGTCGCGTCGTACATGATCCCCTACGCCCCGCTGGCGTCCGACTTTACCGCCTATATGGACCCCAAGACGTCGTCGTACGTGCCCAGGCTCCCCCACCCGCCCCTGATGTCTCACGTTTCCGTGTTTCCTGCTAACCTGGAACCTCCCCTCAAAACAGAACCAAGGTCTTCGCCTACTGCTACACCGGCCTTGTCATCCCGTCCGCCCTCCTGATGATCCTGGGCGCGGCCATCGGCAGCGCGCTGCCGGCCAACCCGACGTGGAAGGCCGGCTATGACACGTACCTGGTCGGGGGCGTGCTGGACGCCATCCTGGCGCCGGCCGGCGGGTTCGGCAAGTTCGTGGTGGTAGTGCTGGCCTTCAGCCTGCTCGGAAACCTGGCCGCGACGTCGTACTCGGTGACGCTCAACATGCAGCAGTTCCTGACGCCGCTGGCCCCGCGGCTGCTGCGGCTGGTGCCGCGCTACGCCTACGCCGTCCTCCTGACGGCGGTGCTGATACCCGTCGCCATCGCGCTGGCCCGCGACTTTTTGACCAACCTCGAGAACTTCATCGCCCTCATCGCCTACTGGTCGTCCGCCTTCGTGGCCGTGCTGCTGGCCGAGCACTTTTGGTTCCGCGGCGGGGACGCGGCGTCGTACGACCCCGAGGACTGGAACGACGCCCGCCGCCTGCCGCCGGGCGTCGCCGCGCTGGCGTCGCTGCTCGTCAGCTTCGGCGCCGTCGTGCCCTTTATGGCTCAGGCCTGGTGGACTGGCCCCGTGGCCAAGGTGACGGGCGATATCGGCTTCGAGCTCGCCTTTGTTATTGCGGGCCTGGTGTATCTTCCGCTGAGGACCGTCGAGAAGAAGATTGCGGGTCGGTGATGAAGCTAGGGGGAGATTCGGGAGGAGGAAACAAAATGGGATTAATGCGGTGTGGGAAAAGCGGTCGGGTAAGTAATTATTGCATGAATAGTAGGACAAGGCGGTGTGCATGGCCTGGGATAAATGGGTAACATATAGACAAGAGATACATACGGGGAATGGTGGAAAAAAGAGGGAGAAATTTTTCATTGATAGAAAATAAACTATGTGGACGTCAGTTTGACTAGCATATCGTACATTCTCTAACCCAGCCCTGACCGGCAACTCGGGATGAAAGTCGATGGTATCTGAGCCCAGGGGCGGCAGAATCCCATCACCCCATGCCTGCATGATCTCATGGAATGGAAGCGTCACCCCGACACGTAACGTTGGATTCGACCCCGACGTCGTGCTCGCCGTCCCCCCTCTTCTCCCGTCTCCCCGCACCGCCGCCGATCGACTGCGCATATTAACTTTGGGGTTATGGGGAGCCATGGTCACCCAGTCTTATCGCCAAAGGTAATTGTGAATGTCTGGCAGGGAATGACGTCGGATTCGGGTAATTTCATGACCCCCTATTTTTGCTTCTCCTCCCTCTTTACAAGTTTTAATTCCTTCTTTTGCTGTGCTTCCGTCGTGTGGCATCGGGTCCCTTTTTGTCCATCGCAATATCTCTGGCTTCCAACCCCCGCCAGCTGTGACACGAGGTCTGCCTTTTTGCGAGCGGGTTACTCTGCACTCGGAACGCAACATGTTGCTGCCTCTGGGTCTTCTCTACCTCGCGTCCTTGGCGACCGCGCAGGGCGAGACGGGAAACAACCCTGGGTGGCCGCGGTGGTGCGGTAAGGTCTACAAGCCGGGGTGAGTTTGTCTCTCTACTGTGCAACATGGACAGTCACATGGCTCCGCTAACACACAAAACCCAAGCTACCCGAGCTTCGAGCCAGGCGGTGAAACGGTCGCACCGCCCGAGGTCCCCGGCCCGGCGCAGCTGCACGTTCAGTTCAGACCGCGGTACAATCTCTACCTGGACAACGAGGCCGAGGGCCACTTTGTAGTCAACGCCGAGCTGTCGCGACACCACGGATCGCCCCTGGACGAGTCCCGGCAGTCGCCCGGGACGGCGGTGGCCTTCTCCATCACGCTTAACTCGACGGGGGCCGAGCTGGCGAGCGGAAGCGTGGCCGTCAACTCGACGCGCAACCTCGTCCCGTTCGACCTGTCGGGCGTGCCGACCAGCCTCGCGCCGCAGCTGGCGGTGCTGCGGGCCACGGTGGCCGGGCAAGCCCAGGCCTACGTAGCGACGGCGGAGCTGCTCCGCCTGCCCGACAAGCGGCGCGGCAGCGTGACGCGCATCGACAACCTGGGCGGGGGCCTGCAGTTCCGCAACAGCGCGTCCAACCACACCTTCGGGCCGCTGCTGCCGTACGGCTACTACGCCTCGTACGACGGGTTCCTCCGGCTAAACGACACGGGCCCGGTGCGGCGCTACGCCGACCTCGGCCTCACCGCCATGACGCCCCTGACGGTCTGGGCCGAGGGCGGCGACAAGCTGCGCTACATGGACGACATCGGCCTGCCCTTCATGTACAGCCTGCGCGACGGGTACCGCAACCTGACGTACGTGGCCGAGAGCGTCGCGCCCGTCGTCGACTCGGAGGCCCTGTACGCGTACTGGACGGCCGACGAGCCCGACGGCTGGCAGCACCCGTTCGCCGCGCCCGCGCGCGCCCGCGACGTCGTGCGCGCCCTGGACCCCTACCACCCGGTCGCCGTGACGCTCAACTGCCAGGACTACCACTTTGGCGAGTACGCGGGCGATGGCGCCGCCGACGTGGTCATGGAGGACGTCTACCCCCTCATCGCCAGCGCCACCTTCTCCAAGTGGGGCACCGAGTGCAACCGCACCTACGGCGACTGCGGCTGCGACAACTGCGCCGGCGGCGTGCGCGACGTGGCCCGGCGGCTCGACGACCTGGCCCGCCACGAGCGCGCGCTCGGCCGCTGGCCAAAGCCAAAGTTCCACAACACCCAGTCCTTCTCGGGCGAAGGCTACTGGCCGCGAGACCCGACCCCGGCCGAGTCGTGGGCCATGAACGTGCTGGCCTTCAACCACGGCGCCACCGGCATCGTGGCCTGGGTGTACCCGGCCTCGGACGTGCTGGCGGCCGCGCACGGGCGGCTCTCGCGGGTCGTGGCGTCGCCGCCCGTCGTCGACTTCCTGGTCGGCGGCGGCGACAACGGCGGTCCGCACCCCGTGGCGGTGCCGGGGCTCGGCGCCGACGAGATCGACGTGGCGTACTGGACGGCGGGCGGCGGCGGCGGCGGCGATGGCCGGCTGCTCGTCGCCGTCGTCAACCCCAGCGCGACGGACGACCGGGTCGGCGACGTCGTCGTCCGCCTGCCCCGCGCCGCCGCCCGCATCGACGCCGTGCCATGGGGCAGCCCGGAGCTGTGGGTGCTCGCCGACGGCGGCGGCACGCTGCGCGCCGCGGGCAACTTCTCGGCCATGTCCACGGCCATGATCCTGCTGACGCTTGCGTAGCCATGTTCCCGACCCGCCGGACTTGGAGGTGGGGTTTCTGCGAGCGGTCGGTTGTTGCCTGCCGACGTGGCATTGGAAAATTCAGCGGGGAGCATATGTAGCGCGATGTGTATGTTCCCGATAATTTCCTGGCCGGGAAACTCATGGGGTAAAAAAGTTGTGCCTCCGGCACGACAGCCGCTAGCGAGGTTTGATACAAAGGGCCTTTGTCAAAGGTTCTTCCGAGATCCCAGCAAGTCCTCATCGTGTGTTGCCATAAAGTGATATAGAGAAACGACGCCTCTCCTCTAGCATACTTTCCTTGTCACTCCTCAACACAGCTGTCACAAGAGTCAGCGTATGCCTCTCTGGCCCTGAGTAATCTGTTTGATCACTTGTCATCGAGGTAGTTCTATCTTGTCCTTCACCATCCCTTTTACTCACCCTAGGGAGATCTCCCATGCCGCACCCGTGGTGTCATCTATCGACTTCCTGTCCCTTTGGAAGCATGCACCTCCTGACGTTCCCTTTCGGTGGCATGCCGGATGCAAACAACCCTAGACTCTTGGAGGAGAGCAACAAGTCAGTCACATCTTGGGCAGCAGCACCTCCACGTCGCCGGCCTCGCTTGATTTGCTCAGGAAGCCATGCTGCTTGTTTGGTACAGTCCGGACTCATCAATTCGGGGTCAGCCTTCTCCGTGTATATAAAGCGACAGGCTCGCCGCCCTCCACCACTCGCCGCACCTGATCCGCCAACCTATCCATGGCCAGACCCAGCATCAGAAACAATGGCGCCAATCACTCTACGCGATCTGCTCACACAAAAGAAGCCAGCTCCGGCCTCTGACGCGGCTAAAGCAAATGCCACGCCGCTCAAAAGCCCAGCCTTTCCCGATTTCTCTACCACCTCGACCTAGGATGAACTAAATCTCGAGGTGCTCAATTCGGCCTATGGTCATGTCCTCAAACTTCAGATGCTACCCCAGGAGGTCGAGGAGGGTGAGCGGGCGCTTCAAGGATGGCGCCACGGCCTCACGCCAGACTACCCCCCCGGTGGCCCCCCCCAATAGCCCCCGGGATACCCCGCTACACCTCATCCAATACAGTGGCAAGATCCTGAAGGTGGCACTCGAGGTCGTCAAGAAGTCCGCCGATGGGGGTGTCCAGGCGATTGTCGAGAAGGTCGAGGGCGTGGAACTGGAGCACGAAACTGCCAGAGCCGCCGGCGAGCCAGTCTGGGTGGGCGCACCCAAGCCGGCCCCAGTGCATCACCTCGTCAGCCTCCAAGTAGCCGACTTCCCAAACCTGGTCGTCGGCCTGGCCTGCGACGAAAGCAGCTTCGGCAGCGACTGCCGCCTCAGCGAGGTCCCGAACGCCGTCGCCACCGGCGATACCAAGTACAAGTGGCCGCTGAGGCAGCTGGCACACGCGTGCCACAGAGCGAACACGAGATATGGATATCTCGCGCTGAGGAACGGCATCCTAGCATGCTGTTTCACCCTGTCCCCGGCGGCGGGGCCGGCGAGGCGGGGCGGGCGGCTGGGTAATGACTGGCAGGTGTCCATGAAGCCTGTCATGTGGTCGCAGAGCGGCGACAAGCAGCTGACGGCGGACCTGACCCTGTGGTGGATGAGCATGATGGCCATCTCGGGAGAGCACAATCGAAAGCTCGTCCCCGAGGCCGAGCGGGTCAGCATCAACCACTGGGACGAGATCCAGGTCGAAGGGGGCGCCACGGTGCTTCGGCACCACTATTCCCTGGCCGAGAAGCCTGCGTAGCCGGCCAACCAAGATCAACGCGCGGCAGGATAGCTGCTTGCCGCCGCCGAGCCAGCAAGCAGGGTGGCATGGGCGCGCCATCTCTGTCACAAAGGAGGCCGGCACACTGTTCAGGTCTTGGCACGGAGGATCTGCACGGGCACAGGGGTGCGGTAGTGGGTGCCGCACCTATCTTGCACCATTTGTCCGTCATAATCTCCATAAAGGAAATGAAAAGGCGGATTTCTTTGCATTGTCCGGTTGCTGTTTCGTGCATGTATCCATTTTGGCTAGACCAGCCGTGTGAGTGGCATTGGAGTGGGGCGTAGGCATTATGCTGCTAGGCTTCACTGGTATAATCGACAGCTCCCTGTAGCTTTCCGTCCCCTGGGGTGATGCAGACCAACTTGTGGCTGTAAATCGGTTCTATTCTGCATAAGGAGGAGGAAGGAGATGTATCCGCCAGAGGCCGGCCTCTGGCCGGCCCCTCGTATATATCAGGCTTCTTGGGCGCTCAAGCCAGGGGTACATGATATGATGATAAGCACCTGTCCCTCCTACAGCTTTGCGCCCCATAGGGCTTGCACCTCCTGATATCCCGCGTACCACATGCAGCAACAAATTGGGCATTTGCGACGGGCGGGACCCCATTCACTCATTGCGTGCACAATAACTATATTCACCAACTACCAAGGGTCCAAGGCTTGAGTTCGTGTTCGTCACCGCTGGCGATGTCTTCGTTCTCGGCTTGTACGGCTAAATAGGAGAGCACCTACTAACATGCCCAGGAACAAAACAAACAGATATTGCATTTCGTTTGACCTGCTTCCGAGAATGAAGATAGGAAAGACCTGCGTATCATACACGACTTGGCAGGCACCCGTTCCGCAAGAAGGATCGGGGCTCCGTTCAAGGGCTGAAGGGCAAGGAAAGAAACAAGGACGGAGACGGAATAAGAGACAAACAGGAGACAGAAATAGGAAACAAGCCAGGAAACAGGAAAAGAAACAGGAAAGGAAACAGGAAAGGAAACAAAAGAGAACCAGTGCGAGAAAAGTCTTGGGCAATCCAACATCCTTGGCCGCCATGCTGGCATCATAGCTACATCCACGGCTGGATGTAGCCGTTCTTGTATTCAAAAATGTATCTGCCTGCATCCGGGTTGGAGGACCTCAGCTCCTCGGCCAGCTCGGGATCCTTGCCAAAGCAGTAGATCCACTTGCGGGGCTTTGCACACAGTGGCCGCTTCGACGCGCTGGACTTTCGCCTCCAGTCGTAGCTCGTCGGGTTGACATGGGTGTAGACGCGCTCCCGAGCCTCCTTGTTCCTCAGCTCGTAGGAGCGGAGCTTCGGGGCGCCTTGGCCGCCGGGAAAGGCGCGCAGTTCAATGGCGCCCTCGGTAGCGCCATGCCTGTCGTTCCAACAGTCGATTTCATAGTCAAACTGGAGGTAATCCGCCTTGGCCCGGATGAAGGTCTCGAGTCTCATGGCCTCCAGCAGAGCTGGCGTAAGGTTGGGGTTCAGCGCCCGAGTTGCCATCCAGTGCGGTATCGTGCAAGCCATGCTTAGATCGCTGACCGTCTTGTTTCCAAGCAGCTGCCGGGGGGTGACGTCGATGCGGAAGATACCGAGCTGCTGGAACTTGCCGATATCAGCCAGCATCCGGGTGGCCAGGGCCTCGTTGAGATCCCTCTCCGGCACCTCCTCGGCAAGCTCTTTGACAATGCCCCGGATAGGCGGTGCCCGGCCGTCGCGGCCCGGGTACCTCGTCCGCACATTACATCCTGGGGGGCAGTCGGCCTCCTTGAAGGTAGCCGAAAACCCGGTGCCGATCAGCTGGGTGTCGGGAAAGTGTTCGAGAAGCAAGGCCTCGTGGGTCTCATCCAGGAGCACGTAGCCGAAGCAGGCCAAGGCAAGATCTTGGTGCCCAGTCTCTTGAAGGCGCGCAAAAGCGCGACACTCGGCATAGAAGGGCTCTGAGTGCTGGGCAAACGCCGTCAGGGCGGCCCGGTCGTCGATGTTTGATTCCCTTATCATGCACGGCCACTCATCTTCGTAGCAGAACCGGAACTAGACAAGGGATAGACAAGTGGTCGGTCAGCTCTTTGCCCGGGCGTCCTGTGCTGCCGAGGAATCCGCGGCTTGCTGAACTTACCAGTTTGAGCGCGTAGTGCCGGTGACGCATCTTGACCTTGAAAACGATCCCGTGAGCCCCGTCGCCCAAAAGCTGGAGAAACTCGATCCTCTGCGGGCCGCCAAAGTCGAAAGCCTTTAGCTTGGGGCCTTCGCACCGCGGCAGCGGCACTAGATCCGCATCCGATCGTGGCCAGTCGGGGTATATTGTGGGCGAGATGGCGTCGTGCATCTCTGCTGACGATGAGAGAGCCTTAGAGAGAGTGGCTGTTGTGGTGGTCTGACGATGAGGGAGCCTTAGAGGGAGCGGTTGAAGTGGTGGTTCCTTGTAGCGGAAGGAGAGTTTGGATTGGCTGCCATGGAGGAGAACAGGGCCCCTGCAGAGCCGGGCGGGTATCGAGGTTTTTTTTAATGGAGTCATAATAGCTGGGTGCTGCCGTGGGTGTCAAGCACCGCTTTCGGGTTTGCCCAACAAATCTTTACAGGCCATTGCAAGCAGGGAAGAAAGGGAGCGGCCGCAAACGGGCGGGATATCAACAGGAGGAGGGCAGGCGGGCGGGTTTTCTTTGTTGATAAGTTGCCATCCTCGACGTGCGCCTCGTGGGCTTTGACTGACGGCCGCCGCATCGATTGATTTGGGCCTCGGCAGTTCCATTCTTTCAGCTGCTGTTTCGCCCTCCCTTTCCGGCCGCCTCCCTTTGTCCTCGTCTTCCTAGAGACCGCAAATCCGGCGACGTCGGCTTGCGGGGGACCGAAGCGCTCCAAAAGCTTGGCATCGCAGCTGTAAACGGAAAGTTCTCTCCCGAAAACCTTTTGCCCGAACGGAATAATCGGGTTAGTCAGCGACGCGGCCCTGTTCAGGTTCGCGTCACTTTTGCTCACCCTCCATCCGGTATGCCTCGGTATGCCTGTCAGCTCGAGGTATTCTCATGGGCGATTCGCTGGGCAAAACACCTGACGTGGCGTTCAAAAAGGAACTACCAACAAAAGCAAACCATTAGATGCTACGTAATGTGCTCCCACCAGTTCCCGAAACCGCCACCGCCAAACACGCCGTAGGATAAAAGTACAACTGGACTAGCTGTAATGGACATAGCTGCTCATCTAGTCGCTGTCTTCATCCGAATTGTAATCCCAGTTATTCGCAGCAGGTACCTTTCCCAAGCCATCACCGTACTCACCCTCCACAGTCAAAGGATCAACGGTGAAGCAGCTTTTACTGCTTTCCAGGTAAGCAGGCTTGCTCCCAACATCAACTGCGCCATGCTCCTGTAGCATTTTTACCATGGCCATGTTGGAGGCCACGATGGCCTCCGAAAGCGCCGTCCGGCCGCACAGGGTGGCTGCGTCAACCTTAACCTTGCCCGTGTCTAGTAGCAATTTCACGATGTCGATATGGTCGTTCCTCGCAGCCCAGAAGAGCGGCGTCTGCTGCGCCGTGTCCTGCGCATCGACACTCACCACGTCGCCCTCGAGCCCCAGCAGCGCGTGCACGACGGCCTCATGTCCGTTTCCCGCGGCCAGTGATAGCGGGGTCCGGTCATTCGTGTCAGCGCAGTCCACATCGGCCTTTGCTGGCGCGTGAAGGAGGAGCAGGCTGACCACAGCGTCCTGGCCGAATTCGGCAGCTAGGGAGAAGGCAGTCCGACCAATTTGATCTCTTATGCGGTGATCGGCACCGAGACGGAGTAGCTCTGCGACCATATCATCGTGGCCACGAAAAGCGGCTTCCATCAGGGGCGTCTTCCCGTTGTCACCGCGGCAGTTGACGTCGCCGCCGAGAGCAGATGTGAGGTGGGAAAATATGGACACCTGACCGATCTCTGCCGCCAAGCACAGTGCCTTGGGGGCGATTCCCTCTCCCCAGCCTGGGCCTGCCTCCCGGAGGGCGGCCTCCAAGATGGTTTTGACGACCGCCTCGTTTTCCTGCAGGATGGCCCATAAGAGAGGGTTGTCCGCCTCCCCGCCTTCGAGGCTCGACCGTTCCAGAAGCACCCTCACAACGTCAACGTGGCCGTTGCGGGCTGCCCAGGAGAGCGGCAGGCGACCCACTTTGTCCCTTTGCGAGTCGCCGCCCATGGCGAGCCTCTCCTCTTTCAGCAGCTCTTTGACGACGTCTGTGAAACCGTTCTCGGCGGCTAGGGATAGCGGCGTTCGGCCGTCCTTGTCTTTCAAGTTGGGGTCTGCACCCGCGCGGAGGAGCATCTGCGCGATCTCGAGGTTGCCCAAAATTGCCGTCCACATGAGTGGAGTTTGGCGGTGGCTGTCTTGCGCATCGCAGCCTCCGGCCTCGCGCCGGGTGAGGAGGTCCGAGACGATATCCGCGGCGCCGAAGCGTGCAGCCAGATGTAGGCCCGTCACCCTCCTGGGGGCCTCCTGGCTGTAGCCGGGCCAGGGGCTCTGCTCCTTGATGGCCATCATTGCCTGGCCCGCGGATTCAGTCTTGGCCGCGCTGCTCAAAAAGCTTTGGAGCCTGCTATCGCTTGGCGGCAGGGAGGCCTCACGAGCGTGATATCCCCAATTGCGCGCCACGTAGCGGTAAAGAGGGTGCTTCGACAACCGGGCCTCGAGGTCGGCGTCCGTAGCGCAGAAGCCTCGCCCAAAGTCGTCAAAGGACAGGTAGGTGGTGCATATACGTGCGATGTCCGCCTCAGCATCTGGGAGGATCCCGTTGCTGGAGCCATTTGTCAGATATTCGTATGCGGTGTAGTGGATAAGGCGGATGACGTCGCTTCCCTCATCGATTGTCAACAGGCCGTCACAAGCCGATATGACCCCGTGCATCTCGGGAATATTGTCCTCATCCAAGGCTGTGTCTCCAGGGTTTACGGCGAGGGCGTGCAGAAGCTCCGACGTCGTCAGCGGGCGCCTTGCGCACACGACCCACTTCAAGGCTTTCTTGGCAAACCGAGCCTGGTCGGAACTCTCGATGCGCTTCATGGTGTCTCCGTACAGCTTCTCATATGTCCTTTTCTTGTCCACCAAAGCGTCCTTGATCTGCCGGGGTGACTGCATTCCCCGCAGTGAGCTGTTTTTTAAATACAAAAAGAGATTAGCGCTGTTCTAGTCCGAGCTTTCCCGGCTGGCTACCGAACCTTCAACATACCTGAGGTACAGCTGGGCCAAGAGAAACATGCCACAAACAGCTCTCACAATGGCTTGCTTGATCAAGTCCTGAAGGTCGGGCTGTTTGCTGACAAAATGAGGGAGCTCCGACATGTGAGCGTCCAGATACTGCTTGACATCGGTTGCATCGGCTTCGATTTCCAGAACCGAGACTTTGGGGAAGAAGCCGGAATCGATTTCGCGACAGGGCCTTGAGGTCGCAAAAATGTTAGTGCCCCGGATGTCTCGAAGGTGGAATAGGGTCGTTAGAAGCTTAGGCCGGCAGCTGGTGGGGCACTGGTCGAGGGCGTCGACAACGATAAAGCTTCTCTTGTATTGCTTGAGGATCGATTCGAGACAGCTGACGATCTCGGGAAGAAGTGGGCGTGTTCTAGCTTTTCGGTGAGTCTGATGTAACGTCTTGACGCTGTCCGGCAACGATTGCAGGCCCTGGCTGAAGTGCTTCAACACGCTCAGGAGCAAGTCCTCGGGCCCCTGTTTCTCCCGATGTGAAAAGCTGCAATAGAGGAACGCGACGCCGATGGCAGAGCCGTCATTGTCGGCAACCCTTTGGGCCAGAAGATGATCGACCACGACAGCAGTGAGGATGGTTTTGCCCGCCCCGGGTATGCCTCGACAAAATAGCGACCCACCATCGCCACCCAGCCACGTCTTGAACTCCTCCCGGTCCAAAAGCCACTGGCCGGTCCCCGGCTGTCGTAGTCTTAGGGTGCAGCTCTGCTTGCTGCCGTAATCATCGGGCGCAACCCAGTCGAGGATGGCCTGGTCGTCTTTTTTGTCCAGCCTGGACCCGAGCACATGCATGGAATGTTCAACTTTGGGAGTGGGTAATTATTAGATTGTGGACTAAATTAAAAAGCCTGCCATCCGGCCTAGCAACCAATGCGATGTGAGCACTACTGACTGTTAGACAGGACCTCGCTGATCTTCTTCTCGGCCTCAATCTTGTTGGGCGGGATCCGGATCAGAAGGTCCTTGGTATATGCAGCCGCCGTCATGGCTGCATAGCCCTGCCAGGCCTTGTTTTTGTGCGAATCGCTGTAGTCACAAATTCCTAGCGGCATTGAGGTGTTAGCGCTATGTTTCAGAGTACCTAATGACATTGGGGCGCACAGGAGTTTGACATACCGCGGACCACAAGGCAAGGAAAATGGTTCATCAGCCCCGCCGCTTCCATCTCGAAGCACAGCACATTTTCTCCGCCAGCCAGTCGGTCCCTGAGGGTGGCATCCTTCATCACCTGATTGGCCGAGGCAATGAGGCCGTAAAAGATGGCCGGGTCGTCAACCTCCTCCGCGTCACGTTGGGGCCGCGTGACAAGGTCGCCTTCCTCATCTCCGCAAATGGACTCGCAGGGTTTCGCTTGGTCCTCGTGGACCTTGGTGCTAATGTAGAGCCTGTCGCTACCCGGATCGGGTCGCCCGTGGGTTCTTTTGAGCCTCTTCTTCTGTTCAAGAATCTGCTCGATTTTTTCCACGATCCCATGGTCATCGACGGCATACTGTGACTTGAGGCCATTCACGGCGGTCGAGAGAACTGTTGGCGGCTTGTTCAGGAACCCGGTGTGCTGAAAGCCTTGGCCTTGGATCGCTTTGCCCATGTCGTACTGATACACACCCCCCTTGCCGTTGGCTGGGGAGCTGACGACTATGTCTCCTAGCCGAATGTCGTTCTACAGGAATCAAAATTAGCCGCGGCCACGTCGTGTCGTCGACCCTCCTGTCATACCTTGCTAGACGGGGCGCCGCCGCCAATGCCCACCATCAGGCCAATCCTGACATTGGGGAAGCTGTGGAGCATGTCTCTTGCCACGGCAGCTGCGGAGTTCGTGCCGTATTCTCCATCGGGCAGGACAGCAATGACAACGTTATGCCCGCCCATGCTGCCGAGGGTATAATCGTTGCCATCGTGCGGAGAGACGAACGTGGGCCGATCATGTTTCTCGTCGAGAAAGGATTGGGCGGCCGTATACTCGGTGCTGATGGCACAAATCCAGCCGACAGTGTAATTGTTGGGGTCCGACATAGCTTCTTGGGACGCGCCGGGAGCGAGGTGACGCTTCAGCCCCAAGCACTTGGATTCGACGTCGTGAATTGATGGCAGCAAAAAAGAGGAATTGCAAGGTAGGGGTGCATATAGCAGACCGGTTGGCTTGATCTCTATCTCCAAGGAACTCTAGAAAAATGTTGTTGAGGGTGGGGGACCCTCCAGCTCTATATACACGAGGCTCTGCAAGGTATGCGCCTCTCTTTGGCGTCGCCGGGTTCTCTGTAACAATTTACAGAGCACTCACGATATCAACGAGGGTCTCCAACGGAGGCGAGGGCCGTAATACTCGACCTCGGTCGTAAATCCTTCAGAGGTACCCTCTCCTTTGCGACAAGAGGCAATTTGAAAGGAGACACAGGTCGGGAGATGGCGGTTACGCACGGACATCATCGCTCTGACAGCAAGCGACGGGGCTGTTGATGCAGGCTGCCGCGGGCATTCGTAAGGCGTCACTCGCAACTTCAGTCTTTGGGAACATTAGCCACTCATCACAGTCTTGGATATGCATTGGGCATTTATCACACCTCCTTTAGGATGCATCAGCCGCCGGAGTGCTCTGCGGGGCTCGGGGCGGAGTCCGCGGAAATGCATTCATCGGGTTTCCCGGACTATTAGGACTGGCGGCCAGCGCGGCAACATAAAACTTATCGATGGTGTATTAGTGGCTGGGCCAGAACGGCTGCGCAGCGAATGGAGACGTGCAGAGATGCAGGCGGTGATAATTACACGTAAACAGATCTTATGCAGTCACAGGAGGGCGAATGTGATGAACTGGAACTTCCACAAACCGCAAAGCCTAACCTACCACCGAGGAGGCCGCCTACCGGCAATGCCCAATCCCACGACTGAGCCCGAGGCGCCTTAGTCGGGTATCAAGGACACCGCCACCATCAAGATCGTGGGGGAATGGTCGGCTTTGGCACAATATGCATGTGGTGGCTGAAATACTCTCTTTGAACTGGACATGGCAACGTGGGCCACGGAGGGCCACGGAGGGCCAGATGCTTGCTGCTGACAGTCTCTATCTCGGCTCTTTCATAAGACACCAATGATAAAGAGGTCACCTCCGCATGCAGTTTTTCATTGGGCTTGCCATTGTGGCTTGGAAGCTAGCGCCCAAGGAAGTGCGGGGGGAAATCGGGCAATCCATGGGCAACGCATCAAGTAAATGTGTTTAGGGGCCCTTGTGTTTATTGTTTATTGGAAGAGCGATGTGACGCGGGTTTCCCCAGATGCCCAATGCCGGAGGGTTGGGTAAATGAATTGGAAAAGGGGTCCAAAGAGCGATGTGGCACGGATTACCCCAGATGCCCAACCTGGAAAAGGGGTCCGAAGAGCGACGTGACGAAAGTAAGGCTGCCGGGTCGACCTGATTGACGCGCCGGAGGATCCATGAGAGATGTGACTATCCCCTCGAGTGCCGTTAGACCCAGGTCGCCCGGATAGGAAGGTGATCGGCAAAGACATCCCTGTTTGTTGTTGTAACTCGGAGGTACGGATTTGCAAGAGTGCGGTGCGAGTATTGCGACGTACTGCTTTGTAACAATGACTTGTGCTGGTACTTTTATCATGGGCTAGATAAGGCGCAGATGGAAGTACCGAAAAAATGGACGTTTTTATTGGCTGACGCACGCGAGATCAGCGGCCGGGGGTCGAACGGCACTCGAGGGGATATACCTCGCACAGACCACAGAACAGGTTACTTAACCTGCTTGAGGGGCGTTGAGGCTTTAGGAGATTTTACTCTAAGCATCTTCCGAGACTCGAGAAATTTTTATCGGCAGAAGTCATTCCCCAGCTTTGCACCCTCAACTTTCCATTCCCCTTACACCATCGCAACATCATCCCAGTGCCCAAAATGGTGAGCAGCAGTGACCCCGAGTACAGCCTCACGATTCAGAAGAAGGCCAAGGATGCCGCCGAGACCATCCGGGCGCGCAGCTTGGTCAAAAGTGATACGTGGGCACGCCCCCTCGCAACCGCGCCGTCCGCCGTCTGCACAATGGCTGTCCTCCTCAGGATATCGGGCTCGTCCGCGGCTGCTGGCGTCCCCGTCAAGTCACGGGATGTGAAGGGCGACAGGGGTGAAAGTATCGGTACACTGCCGTATGTCTGAGTTCCTATCCAATATCGTACAATATTACCCGACACGTGGAACTTACTGAAACTCGTTCTTTTTTTCGCCCCTCCAGCCACGAACTACTCTACGCAAACCTGGAATCCTGCTCCAACCTCGGTCGAAGCGCGTTCACAGATGCCCGCAGCGCCATGAGCTATATCAACATGGTTGCGATGCAGATGACCGAAAACAGGGGCAAGCTTGAAAGTATCCTCCGCGCCATCGACAAGGTAGAAGATGATGATGATGAAGACGATGATGACGACGACGCCTTGGTCGACGACATCAAGGATGTCAGGGAAAGCACGGAGAAATGCCTGGAGGAGATCAAGAAGCTCACTGGATCTTTCCAGTACTGGTACTGGATGATTCAATGCCTAAAGGAGAACGTTGCCGCCTGCCAAGGTACGTACAAGCTTAGGTACTCGCACATTTCCGGGAGCACTGGAATCTAATCAAACCGCACACTTTACAGGAGAAGAGAAAAAGAAATCGAACGTAAATGACGAGCAGCTGCAGAAGAACGCGGCCGAGAAGAAAAAGCTCGAGGAGAAGGACAAGTCCACATCCGAAACCATCAAGAAATTGCAAGAGCAACTCAAGGACGCCGAGAAGAGAGTCTCCGAGGCCTCAGCCCACATGCAAAAGCTGGAGGGCGTGATGCCGGTTGTCACCGAGCCGAGCCAGGAGGAAGAGCAGATCAACGCGGAGAAGAAGATCGCCCAGCTCGAAAAAAGTGAGTAGCATGCCGAACCGGCCCTGTACGATTCACCCTCGAGGGCTCTGCTAATGCAATGACAAACAGAGAAGGGACTCATTGATCGAGCGAAGGATTTATTCAAGGGCGAGAGCAACAAGGATTTCCAAGTCCGGACGGAACACCAGCGCGACGTCGAGCAGCGTCGGGACGAGCTCATCGAGCGAGAAAGGAAGCAGAGAGAGTCGCAGAAGGAAGAGGCGCGGCGGGCCCTGGCAGAGGCACGCCTCCATGAGAAAAATCTCGGCGACAAGGTGACCCAGCTCATCGCCGACATCGGCAGGAACAAGGAGAAGCTGGTGTCGGCCGCGGCCAGCCTCGACATTGCTGAAGCACAGTTCAAGCGCCTCGAGGAGGAGAAGTTTGACCTCGTAGGTTTACTTACCCGGCTGCTGGGGCCGCACACGTGCTAATTTGCCTTTGGAAACAGGCCGGTATTTTGGAGATCTTGGATGAGTCGAGTCGGGAACTGGGACGGCTGAGGACGCAGATCCAGGAACTCGTCACGTTCTTCAAGGATATTCTCAGTCAAGTCAACCTGACGGTGCAGCAGGATGTCGAGAAGGGATTCCTCCAGCCGATCGAAAAAAAACTGGCATTCAACAAAGCTGGGGTCTTCCAAGGTGTGAAGTTGAGTAAGAGCGCGAAATTGGTATGTACACGTGCGCCTACTGCGTTGACTGTCACCCCATTTTCGGTGCCCCAAAAAGGCAAAGCAGCTGACTCGACTGGCCCTCTTGCAGAAGGTCCACGACAGTGCCATCAACATCCAGGGCAGCTTCTGCGCCATCGGGGACATCACGAGCGTCTATGTCCTGGCCTCGGATCGCTATATCATCCCGGCCATCAATATGATGGGGGCCCTTTCTGACGCCAAGGAACAAGACTTGCACGACCAAAAAGAAGAATTCACGAGCTGGTGCCGCAAGTCCATGCAAGAAATCCAGCTTTTGACCAGTGAAACTGACGAGAAGATGCTGCCGCGTATGACTGAGCGTCTCCAGTACCTGCAACTGGCCGTAAAGCCCGCTCACTGAGGCAGATGTGCCCACATCACACAGTTGTTTGGGAAGGAGGAGGAAGGGGGAGGATACCATATCGATTTTGCATCGTGGCCAGTGTAGTTGTCGTGTTTTCTTTTTATCTTTTTTTTTTTTGGGCGCCGCTTCTGCGCGCTCCCAAGCGAGCTGTGGGGGCCTTCCGATAGGTACCCTCCTTATATTGAGGACACGAAAAAGCGTCGGTGGTGTCGCGGGGCCAGGCGACGGCTGGTGGGGTCAAGTTTCTATATTGAGAGCCATTGTTACAAATGAGCAGTCAAGCCACATCTCCGTGGCTTGTTCGCAAGCACTTATCCTTGGGCGCGGACCCAAATGTACGCGGCGGCCCCTTCCACGACACTCCCTTAGAATTTCACCTCTCCGAATCATCCCTGGAAACGTACCCGGTGCTTCTCCAAGCCGGAGCCGACCCTACTCTCAAAGATAAATTTGGGTTTGATGTTTCGCTACTCGCCTCCTTGCACGGATACCTACAGGTTCTTGAGGAACTTGAGTCGTTTGCAAATCCCCCCTAGACGTTAGACTAGAATTCCGAGGCAGGATACAAAAGATCCACCTTCTCTCTCCGGGCAGGCAGCTGCTATCAATTTGCTTGTCTGACCGGCCAGATCGGCGTCTTGAGGTTTTTTGGAAGCCGCAGGCTCATCGACGACCCCGTGCACACAATGACGGAAGAAGAGCAACCCACCCCTTTGCACATTGCTGCGGCAGGTGGCAGCATCAGTGTAATCGAGCATCTGGTCGCCAAAGGCGCCGACTTGGCCGCTCGTGCAAGGGATAATACCACGCCACTTCACTTGGCCATCCAGTCAGGTCACCTTGGCGCAGTGAGAAAGCTCCTCGACTGCGGAGCATCCCCCGGTCGTCTCGTTGGCTTTCAGGAGCCAATATCACTAGCACGGCGCACAAATAACGAGGCAATCGTTGCCACGTTACGACAAGCAATCAATTCAGACCCAACATCAAGCAACAATCTCGATCCCCGCAGCATGGCTTCCGCCATTGAGGAGGCTGTCCGAAAGAATGATTTAGATTGTTGCAGGGCATTGATAGCGCAAGGCTGCATGGTTAATACTGCTTTGTCTTGCGGCGGCTGTTCACCACTCCAAGATGCTATTCGCGCCCCACAGCCCGACATCGCTCGGTGGCTACTCGAAAACGGCGCCTCTGCAAGCAAAGGAGCCTGCGCCAAGCATAGAGTCGACTCGGCTTTGACAACAAGCTTATCACCGCTCTCGCCACAGGATCCGGGACATATGAAGCTACTTGCCGCAAGGTTCTGCGAGGAAGGGGGTGACATTTTCGACCCATGCCATATCGAGGCAGCCACCCTGAGCTGGCTGCCTGGCTTCTTTCTCGGCGGTTTATGGGTCAAGCCAAGATAACTGCTTCTCCGGCTGCCGAACGGGCAGAGGACGGCAGTCCAGGCTGCTCAGCGAACAGTCAAACTTTGTTTATCGTCCGTGGAGCGGACCCATCAAGGCGGCCCTTATTCCAACAGCTTGGACTCAAAGGAGGTCGCATGAGCCGTCCATAACATATCTGATCAGGATGCATGATCTGAGGAACTGGGCAAAGGGCAAGGTCATTACACTCAACCACAGGGAAGCGGACTTGTCGACCATCGAAGCTAGTGCGTCTCGAAACAATCGGGGGGCATCTAATTATTAAGCGTTTGCGGGCCGACGGATGGTTGCAGCAAGGGATTGCGCACCTGGCAGGCTGGCAGGATAGGTGGGAACTGTAGCATTTCTTTAGCTAGGGAGGCAAGGGAGTTTGGCTCCGATTTTTATTAGCGCTGGCGTTTTTGGGGCTTTTCCTCAGAGTTTTGTAGCTATTTCCTGTCTTGTTTCCCACCACAATCGCAAATGGGCTCTATTCCGCGGGCTTCGGTACTCATCAAGCAAAAACGGAGCCTTTCCGGATCCTCACGCACACACAAGCATTGTAGGTACCCAGGGTGCCGGGTTGTTTTGTGGCTACGCGGTTCGATCATTCCTTTCATGCTGCCGCAGACGCAACCAGGTGCCGCCCCCACCACAGGTTCAGCTCGGCTTCGCAACAGGCGGTTTTGGCGCTAAACCCAATGCGGGCCGGGCAGCGTGGGCGTACGCGTCCATCAAAGTCGACGGCGCACCCAAACCTGGGCGCTGACACTCCCCTGCGGCATGCATGGTGGGCGCCACAAGCTTCCTTGCACGTCCGCCCTCCTCCCCTGCCAGATCGGGCGACACAAAAAACAAGCAATGCCAAGCCCGGGGCGGGCTGGTCTTGGCATCCGGGGGTCAGTTGCTTGTATGCATCAAGGTAACTACATCCAGTATACAGTACCTACGTTCGCCTACGTATCTCTCTGCCCGGCTTGGCTTGCAGGCACGCGCGATAGCCAGGCACGTCAACTGCCGGACGATCAGGCAAGGGGGAACTTGTGCAAGACCCTGCAAAATGCCAGCCGGGCATGAAACGGCCAGCCTGGGACCAGGGCCCAGAAGGCCTCGTCACCCTGAATGTCGCTGGCATTATCACCTACCTACCTACCTGCTCGTCTCTGAATCGGCGGTCAGGGATGGCCTCCCGGGCCTGAGCCGGAAATAAAGTTCAAGATGATCAAGGTTACGAGCCCACCACCCCAAGGCCCACACGGACCAGTCCTCCACCCGACTGCGCGACTTAGCAGCTGGGCACCTGGGCCAGGCCGGCACTGCATGGCCACCTAGCCTGGCGTTTGCATGATCTCGAGAAAAGGGGTGAGGCTTGCGTCACCTCTTCTCTAGCGCCGCCGACTGACGGCCTGCTCCAGCGCTCCCTGGCGCGGGGGTGAGGGGCTCCAGACGCATGATGGCGGCAAAGAGGAAGCCGGATGGAGCGGGTCGAGGAGCGACATGGGATGCCCCAAAGCCCATCGGGCGGCGTACACGGATGGCATGTGAGATGGATGGGATAATGGCTATGAGACGGGCAGCTCTCTGTATCCTGTTGTATATATTTGGTGCCCCTTCCCGCTCGCTCCCGCCTTTCTCCCTCCAGTGTCTTCAGCCCATCATCCAAACTCTATCGTACCAGGCCAGTTCCTCTCATCCCATCCAGCCCAACGCAGGTCGTTCTTCACCACCTTTCACAAAAGACGCAAACATGTTTGGATTCGGTACGGTCCCTCTTATCGTCCCCCACAAACCGGGGCTCTTTCCCGTTGGTATTTAGCTGACACCCAGCCCTCCGCCTCCCCCATTCCATACACAGACGAGGCCAAGGAGCACCGCGACGCCGTCTACGGCGACCAGGCCCACGAGTCCAAGCTGTCGCACGAGATGATCGCCGGCGGCGCCGCCTTCGAGGCCATGCACCTGTGGGAGAAGAAGCAGCGCGAATCGGGCCAGCCCGTCGAGCACGGGCTCGCAAAGGAGCTGCTGGCTGCCGCCGCCGGCTTCGAGGTCGACAAGCTGGCAGAGACCAAGGGGCTCGACTTCATCGACCGCGAGCGCGCAAAGCACGACGCCAGGAAGCAGGCCGAGCACATGTACGACCAGCAGTACGGCAACATGGACCGCTACGACCCGTACGTGTTTTTTTTTTCTGTTTTGTGTTTTGCTTTCCGTTTCATCTTCATCTTGCAAACCGAGCTGATCCGAGTCGTTTGTCCCAAAAGCAACGAGTGCAGGCCGCACGAGTCGATGCAGTGGTAGAGGGTGAGTTGCAAGGGGATATAGAGGAGGGTACGATGTTGCCATGCGGCCCAAACAGAACTCGTCAGCGAGTGACAGGAATTGAATGTTTTGGAACCTAGGTAGCTACCCCATGCATTCGCTACCAAGCGCTTCCAATCAAGCAGCTCCGCCCTGCTTTTTGACATAGTCGTCGTTGGCCTTCTTCTGCTTTTCCCAGTCCTTGCGTAGTTTCTTCAGCGCCGACTTGGTCACCTCGCTACCGTCCTTCATCTTGGTCGGCACGCCGTCGGCGTCAAATTCTCCGTACTTTTCGTCGCATCTATACATGTCCTGCGGCCTCACCGCCGCCTTTGCGAGCCGTTCCTGCTCCAGCCGCTCCTTCTCGCGCCTGGCCTCCTCCTTGGCCGCCGCCTTGGCCGCCTGCTGTGCCGCCTTCTCCTCGCGGGCTGCGATCAGCTTTGCCGCCGGCACAAATTTGATCAGCGCCGGCTGCCCGTCTGACCGGTCGTCCAGGTACACGCCCAGATTTGTCAAGTCGTGGTCGCGGATGCGGTCGCTTAGATCCAGGATCACCTTCTTGTTCTCGCCCGCAGACGACACCACCTTGCGCAGCCCGTCCCGTAGCTTGGCCACCGCGTCCACATAGGGGTACGCCACTTGTTCCGCGTCTGTCACGCCCGAGTCCCGCATCTTGTCCACAGCCGACGCTGGATCCTGTGACTCGAGGAGGGCCAGGACCGAGTCCCCAAACGGCGACGATTTGATCTCGTCCCGCACAGACTCGTACACTTGACGTGCAGCGGCCAGGTCCAGCGCGCTGCCAGGCTCTGGAACCCAACCAATGCCGTCATAGGGTGGCTTTGCATTGGCATCCAGGCCCAGGATTCCGACCATTCTGGTAATCCATCTAGCGGACCTCTCAATGGCCATGTGGTCTGCATCCGCCTTCAGCGTTTGCTTGTGGATATTGATCTTGTTTATCAGGTCGGTTATGGCGCGGAGAGTCGAGCTGGTGTCGAAAGAGTTGGCCAGACTAGAGTGGGTATCCTTCTGTGCCTGCTCGAGGTCGGCAGCGAGTCCCTCCTTCGGCGCGCCATCAGAGGTGGACAAAGACTCCAAGCCCTTGGCGATTGCTGCTGCCGAGGACGAAGCCCCAGCCTCGTGTAGCCATGACTTGGCGTTTGTAAAGAATTGCTGCGATAGAAGGCACGCGTCAGTAACAGCTCCTGCCTCGGAAAGCGAGCCACATGCAGGCACCTACGTTGATGGTATTCTCCCAACTGTCCGCTTGCACGCGCAGCTCAGGAGATATTTCGACGCCCTCGTTCCAGCGGCCCATCATGAAGACTATCCTCATGTTCCTGGCTGTATACGTGGTTGCAAGCGCGTCCTTGATGGTCTGGAAGTTTTTGAGCGACTTGGACATCTTGGAACCTGCAATGGAGAGGTGGCCCATGTGCAGGAAGTACCTGACCCACGTGTGCTGACCGTGGCCCTTTTCGCAAAAGTAAGCCTCGCTCTGGGCAAGCTCGTTGTCGTGGTGCGGGAAAGCAAGGTCGATACCGCCCGAGTGGATGTCCATCTGGGCGCCCAGACGGTCCGACGCCATGACGGAGCACTCAATGTGCCAGCCTGGGCGGCCGGCACCCCAAGGACTGTCCCAGTAGGGCTCGCCAGGCTTGGACTTCTTCCACAGGGCAAAGTCGCCGGGGCTCCTTTTGCCGCCCGAGCCCTTGGAGAGGGAGCCTTCACCCTCCTCCTGCAGCGCCTTGTCGCCACGGCAGTCAGGTCGCAACCGCGCGTACTTGTTTTCGGCCTTTTCAAACGCGTCAATGTCGAAGTACACAGATCCCTCGGCCTCGTACGCGAACCCCTTTTTCACGATTTGGTTGACGAAGTCGACAATCTGCGGCACGTATTCCGTCACCCTCGTGATCTGATCCGGCCTCAGGTTGTTCAGCGCGTCCATGTCATCAAAGAACTCGCCCTCCATGTGCTTCGTCAGGTCCGTGAACATGCTCTGGTCGCTTGTGTCGATCGTCTCCTTGTACAGCGAGTCAAGGTACGGTAGGAGGATCTCGTCGGCCGGACCAAACACCGCGTCGTCCCGTAGTCCCCTCGCTGCCGCATCCATGTTGCTCAGGTGCATCTTGATCTTGGCCTCGGCATCGCCAGGTTTGCCGTCGCCCAATAGCGCGCGGCCGGCCAAGACGCCCCCGTACGAGGCATCTCGTCGCTTCTCATAGTTGGTCTCGTCGAGTCCGACTTCGGCGACAAGCAGCGGCAGGTTGCCTTGGGCGTACGCCTGGAAGGCCGAGGAGCCCAAAGACTTGAGCCCTGCCGCATCGTATTTCTTCTTCTTCTCCAGCTCGAGCAGCCTGTTTCTCCTCGCCCTGATGATGATCTATGCCCCACCCAAGTCCTCGCCGTCAGCCCATCTCTGCCCCGTTTTCCGGACCGCGTCGAGTGCTGAGTCTCACCTTGTCGTCGATGTCTGTAATGTTCATGACAAAGTTGACCTTGTAGCCAAAGTAGTGCATAAAGATGCGCCGGATGACATCGGTCGACACATAATTCCTGGCATGGCCCAGGTGGCTCTGGTCGTAGACGGTCGGTCCACAAGCGTACCAGGACACGTTACCCTTCGCGATGGGCTCGAAGGCGGCTGTGGCGCCAGGCTCGAGGGAGTTGTGCACCCTGATGGTGGTCGAGGAATCCATGGCGGCCAAGGCCAGCAACCGTCGAGGCCGCACAGTTGGAGGCGGGGCAATTCGAGTCCGCGCGGGGGGTCGCAGCTTGTGCGCGGCAAAGAAGGTGGTGGTGCAGGGCCTCGCGACTCTGAAAAAGGAGTGCATTCAGGAATCGGAGCTGGTCATTCCAGAAAGGGTACGTGTCCAGGAGAGGGGTTCCCAGCTGGCTCAGGAGCAGGGGAGGCCAAGAGGGCAACGTCAGCAGAGGATCAAATCAATTGGCCGCCCAGACTGAGTCACCGCGCGCATTGCGGAATGCGCTGCACAGCTGGCGTCAGCCTTGCAGCGGGCCAATTTACAGGGGTCTGGCCTCGCGGTTTTGGTGCTTGGTGCCCCGCAGCTAGTGGTTGTGGCTGCTGGAGCTTCCCCGCACCTGACCGGCAACTAGCGCTTGCAGCTAAACAAGCACAGCGCGTGCCAATTTTTGTCGTGAGTCGTTTCTCATGCATTTTTTTTTCAGCCTCTTCAACGCCATTTTTCAGCACAGCCTTGGCCCGCACAAGGACCAGGCACCCGTCCAACGCCAGCGACGCAGCGTGCCCTCTGCAAATGCCTCGCAGATCCTCGCGCCTCGCTGCCATGGCTCGCGTCCCCTCGCCCTTCCTCCACCTCGGCTCCCAGACGACGGCCAACTCGCTGGCCATCATCCACCTCTCGCGCGACCGCCTGCAGCCGCTGTACCTCGAGGAGATCGATGGCGAGCACGATGGCTACGCCGAGGGCGCCGTGCTGAACACACGCTTTGGCTCCTTCCCCCACTCCACCTTCATCAATGTGCCCTGGGGCTCGCAGGTCCGCGCCTCCGAGGTCGACACGGGCTCTCGCGGCAGGAAGCCACAGAAGAAGCGGAAACGCGACGACGCTGCCGCCCCCGTGGATGAGACCGCCGCTGGAACGGGCGGCGACGTAGTCACTGAAGTCAACGGCGGCGGAAAGGGTGCCAAGAAGGCCGTGGCCGCATCCAGCGGCTTCGTGCACATCCTCGCGCCGAGCCCGGAGCTATGGACCTCGAGCCTGCCGCACCGGACCCAGGTCGTCTACACCCCCGACTACAGCTACATCCTGCAGAGGATCCGCGCGCGGCCCGGCAGCAGGTTGATCGAAGCCGGCGCCGGCAGCGGCAGCTTCACGCACGCATCGGCGAGGGCCGTCTACAACGGTGTCGGCGGCGGGCCAGCCGACAACCCTAACACGGGCAGAGGGCAGGTCTTTAGCTTTGAATTCAACGAGCCGCGGTACAAAAAGATGTGCACAGAGGTTGCGGCCCACAAGCTGGGCCGCATAGTTCGTGTAACGCACCGCGACGTTTACAATGACGGGTTTCTGGTGGACGGGAAGAGCCCCGGTGCCGACGCTGTCTTTCTCGACCTGCCCAAGCCCTGGGAGGCCCTCCCACACCTGTCGCGGCGGAGATATAAGTCGGCAGCCACGCCTAACCAGGATGAGGGCGACTCGATGGATGCTGCGCAAAAAGCCGTTGACGAGACCTTTGTCTCGCCACTCAACCCCAACAAGAGCACTCATCTGTGCACCTTCTCACCTTGCATCGAGCAGGTTTCCAGGACGGTGTCGATGATGCGCCAGCTAGGCTGGATGGACATCGAAACGGTCGAAATAGCCAACAAGCGGATCCACGTCATGCGCGAGAAGGTCGGGCTCACCGTTGCCACCGACAAGGGCATGGCACAAGCGCCCGTCGACGTCTCGGAGGCGGTCGAGCGCCTGCGGAGGATAGAAGAGCGAGTGCGGGAGCATCAGAAGGCGATCCATGACCCGGATGTGGACGACGTCGAGGAGCATCTCAAGGAGAACTTTGACGACGACGCCGCTGTCGAGAGCAACAAGCTCCCGCCCTTCATGCAGGGGAGGCTTGTAACCCGGCCAGAGTCGGAGATGCGGTCGCACACGTCATATCTCACGTTTGCCGTCCTGCCCCGAGAGTGGACGGCCGAGGACGAGGCGGCGGCGCTGGCGAGCTGGCCGTGCGGCCAGGAGAAGCAGGTGATTGGGAGCCTCGACAAGGCCGCGCGCAAGCAGCAAAAACGCGAGATGCTCGAGTCCAAGAAGGGAAAGAAGAAGGGCAAGACGAACGGTGGCGGTGGGAAGGAGGCCGCTGCCGCTGTGGGAGAGGACACGGTCATGGGCGATGCCACCGCAACCCCCGAGTATGGCGCACAACATGCGAAAAGGGATCTAGAAAAGGACGAGGTAACAGAACAGGGTGCCACCCCAAAGCGCCCTAAGCAAGACTGATCAGCCCTCGGGGCTGGGGGTTCTAAAAACATAGACGAGGTGGAAGAGATCTCCTCATATCCCATCCAGGATAACAAGGTCCACGCCATGATGTTGGCCACGAATACAGACATTATACCCGGCCAATACTGATCCTTGGCGTTCGTGGATATCTTGCTTCACGTCGAATGTTCCGCACAATGCACAGATGGCACTTTGCTTGTCGTCAGTCACCATCCTTGTGGAGAAACATGACGCATCACTGATGATTGGACCTTCGTATTCTCGAGGGCCGCAAGGTTGGACGCCCGTTACCGACACAAAGTCAAACACTGTGTGGCAACGCTCAAAGGTTCTAGATGCCCACCAAAGGCCTCCCTCGCAAAGCCAGACGGGAGTGCCGAGCTTCTAAGCTTCGGTTACTTATCTGAGAACAGCTCGTCAACCAAATTCCGTGGCGTGCCTTGACTTTCGGCACGCCGCCAATGAAAACTCACCACCAATCCCGCGATGACGCCAAAACGCCTCAGAGGGAGGCGAGCCGCCGTGAGTGCAGATGCGCTCTCCACCTCCCCCGTCCTCCTCGCCCTCTTCTCCAACAGCCTCCGTTGCTAACGCTTCATCGCAGTTTCCCTCCCCTCCCTCTCGCCTCGCTGAGAAGCCGGCCGGGGAGAATACGACACCGGGCTCGCCCCGGGGAACGAAAAACCAAACCCACGATGCGTCATTGCCATCATCACAGCCACCCTCCCCACCTGCCGCCGGGCCTGGCCGCGCGCGGGGGGCACGGCTGGCCCGGGGCCTCGCAGGATCAGCACCGCCGCCCCCGTCGCCGCTGGGCGCCGCCGGACCCGGGCTCGCTGCTCGCCCAGATCGCCGCGCACACGGCGGAGCCACTGTGGAAGACGCCTCAGAACTGGACGCAGGCCCACGTCGACTTCTTCTGCTGCCGCTTCGAGGGCGCCGCCGAGGGCCCCCCGCAGGGCGGCGGCGTCCGGGCCCAGAGCAGCCAGGCCGTGTCGTCGCCGCGGCCGAAATCCCGACGCGCCTCGTCCATCATGTCTTTGCTGTCTAATAAGGAAAGGAGCGTGACGCCGACGGATCAGACATTGGCGGCGGATCCGGACAAGTCCCTCACCGCGATCGACGAGAGGCCGCCGGCGCCGCCAGGGTGGACGGCTTTTGGGCTGTTCCGTTTGGTGCTCGGCTGGTCGCTCCCCGCCGGCGGCGCGGCCTGCCCGGCGCTGTCGCGGCTGCTGCTGCGCGACGACGACGACGGCCAGCGGGCCGGGATCAAGAAGATGCTGGACAGGGGCACAGGGCTCGAGTTCCACTGCAAGCGCCAGGCGCTCTTTTTGCTGGTCGACGGCGCGCCGTGCGCCACGCTCGAGCTGAACCTGTGCGTGCCGTCGCAGCGGCGCCCGCCGGTGAGGAGCTGGCAGTCCTTGGACGGCCTCATCCGCACCTTCTTCCGACGCCGCCGCAGCAGCAGCAGCATTAGCAGTGACAAGATGGCCCAGAAGGGCGACGACAAGGCGGGCGAGAAGCTGGCAGAAGACAGCAGGACGACGTCGGGCGCGACGACCCCGACCACGCCGCCCACGCCCCCGCTGACGCCACCACCACAGCCACAGCCGCAGCCGCAGCCGCAGTCGCCGCGCGTCTTCCCGGCCGCGGCGCTGGTCGGCGAGCACTCGCAGGCGGCGACGCTGCTGCGCGGGCTGGCGCTGGGCCACGTGGAGCTAGGCGGCGTGGACCAGGCGCGGGCCAACGGGCCCGTGGCGGCCACCATGCGCAAGTGCCTGCGCGGCGTGACGCCCGCCGTGCGCCTGCACGACCCATACCTGCTCGCCGTCGTCATCGCCATGGCGCAGGGCCAGGAGGCCTGGCGGGCCCGGCTCAGGGCCGACGACGAGGAGGTACTACGGCGGAACGGGGAGGAGTGGCTCTGCGAGGGCGGTTACAAGGTGCGTTGGCTTTTATCTTTGGGCTTTGCTTCCTTGACGTTTAGGCATGCTTGCTGACCTTGGCCTAGGTTAACCTGGTTGTCACGGACTGTCGGGACCCGTCCGGGGTGTTTGTGTACGGGGCGACCGTCCCACCGAGCCTGCTGGCCATGCTGAGACACCCCCGCCGGGCGCCCTCCACGGCGTCTTCCTCCCCCACGTCCGAGACCTCGACGGAATCGAGCCCACAGCCGTCCATCTTTGTCAAAGACGAGGTTGTGATCCGGTACCAAAAGGTGCCGTATCAGCCGGCCGAAGACTTTGATACCCGCGTGGCAAATGTCATCGAAACTGGATGTGGGCGCGAAACAACCGCGGGCTAATGTGTTGCGCAGTTTTTTATGTGTTTGGAAGCGTTTTTTTTTTTTTTCTTCTACGTTTGCTCGACGAGCAGAGTGTGTAGGAGTCGGCTTAGCGTGGTGTTTTCGGTTGGGGGGCGCAATACCTTGGATAAACAAATAAAACACAACTTGGATCGAAACTCAGAGAACGCCCCCCTTGGACGCGAACCACCCGCGTATCTCGTCGAGCCCGAGCGTGGTGGTGAAGATCATCTTGCCGAAGGCGTCGACGTCGTCAACGCCGCAATCGCGCAGCACCCCGTCGATGGTCGAGGGCGACACGACAAAGAGCCGCCCGCCCGCCTCGTTCCACGCCTGCGCGAACTCGACGGGCCCCGCCGCGTGCCACAGCCGCGCGGCCAGCGTCCAGTGGTTCCAGAGGGCCGTCCGGGCCGTGCAGGGCGCCGGGTCCGCGCCCGACAGGAGGCGCGTCAGCTGCACGAGGAAGAAGGCGGCCAGGAAGGTGCGCGCCGTCGACTCGTGCAGCGTCCAGCGCTCCCAGAAGGCACGCGTCGGGCCCAGCGGGTACAGCGGCAGGTGCTCCGTCCCCGACACGTGCGGCACCATGCTCTGCAAGCAGACGGTCGGCGCCGCAGAGGTCTCCAGCGCGCCGCCGTCCCCGGCCGGGCCGGCCGGCGGGGACAGCCAGGTGGTGGTGGTGGCGTCTGCGGCCACGCACTGCGCGTGGGAGGACTGGCCTTCGGCGAGGCCCTCGACGACCTTGTCCAGCAGCCGATACGTCACCTCCTCGAGCGCGACCGCCGCGGGCGCCGAGACGGTGCGGCCCGAGAGCTGGGAGGCCTTCTCGTCGAGCAGGTACATGCTCTGGTACAGGATCAAGGCCTGCGCGCGCGCGAGGACCTCGCTGAGGGGCGCCTCCCCCGGCAGCGGCGTCGCGGCCAGCGCGGCCACGCGACGGTCGATGGAGCGCATGATGACGGCCTCGTTGGCGGCGTTCTTGGCGGCCAGGAGGGCGCAGGCCGAGTAGGCGTCCTCGACGGCTGGCGGCATGTGGTCGCGGTACAGCGAGGGGTGCATCCAGGGCGTGCCCGTGGTCTCGAGGAACAGCCTGGGCGCGCGCCGGAGCTCCTCGACGGCGAATTTCATGCGGGAACGGAAGATTTTGGTCATGTGGAAGGGGATGGGTGGGCCCGGCTGGCTGGTCGGGTATGCTGGGAAGTCGAACTGCAGCTTGCCTGTGCCTTTTTCGAACTCCTGCATAGGTTGCTGCATAGGCGCCCGGTAAATCTCGAGGTCTTTCTGTGCCGGAGGGGCGGGAGTCATCATGAGGCTGTCCAGAAGGCTGTCTGCGTCCTGGAACATGGTGAATTCCAAGGGCTCAGCAGTAGCCAAAAGAGTGTCGGCTGGGGAAGCTGTTGCTAGGATATCCGACGGCGTGTAAGCCGAAAAAAGCTCCAGATCAATAAGGGGAGATTCAAGAGATGGGAGGTCGTCCCAAGGGAGCACATCCGCCATATTCTCTAGAGCGGTCATAGCAGGGCACGACGGCGCTGCCGCGACTCCGCCAGCCCGCTTGGCCGCGTGCTGTCGTCTCTGCCGCGCCGGCCGATCTGTGCGCAAGGGTACGACAGCCGGCTCGTACACGCACTCGATCTGTCTGTGCAGGCATCTCTGGCATGCAGGCAAACCCACGTCGCATCGCCGTTTCGATTTGATGCAAGCGACGCATGCCTTGCGCCGTGGCGGCGGATTATCTCTCTCCCGTGACGAAAGAGAGGACGACATTCTGCTGCTTTGTGGACTGTAGTTCCCAACTGGCAGGGCGCCTGCTCAGATTCCGGGTTCGGCTGAGGAGCGAAGCGATAATCAGAAAGAAAACCTAGCCTCTGACGCCTAAATACGCTGACGATGGACAATTGGATGCTTGAACAGCAAGACAAAGCCTCGCTCTCTAAACCAATGTAGAAAGATTCCAAGAGCTCGACTGGCCCGCCAATGATTGGGCCAGCTGCCCGATCTTACGCTTATGGTGGGTCCAGCCGTGGGCGGAATTCCGCCAGACAACCCCTTGTGCCCCCTATAATCTATAGCACCGGAAATGGGCGTCCATCCACGCCATATCAGACTCTGGACTGCACGGGCTGTCAGCTCGGGTCATGACCGGACTAAACCAGGCCCGCCTTGAGAGATCCAGGCACGGATAGATCGAAGAGCCGGCTCCAAACCCGGGAGTGCCCAAATAACCACCCTCAAGTCTCCGAGTCAACCACGCCAGTCTCGCCAGACACGCAAGCAACGTCGCCAGGGAACCAGCGGCTAGCGCCTAGGATTGGAGGAGTATCAGTGGCACATTTCCCGGCACACAACGTGGTAAGATGGATTGCGCCCCAATGCCTTCGTCGGACGGACCGTATGTACAGTGACCAGCGTCGAGCCCCAGATGCTTCCATCCTCTCGCTACCCCAACAGCTCCCAGCACAATCAGTTGCTCCTGACGCCGCCCTTGGCCGCCCGTAGCTCGTCCATCTTGGCCACCCGGAGCTTGAACTCGTCGTACTGGCACTTTTCGTAGCTGTGCCTCTCGTCCTGTAGCGCGCCGTGTCAGCAGCCCGTGCGGAAACATGTCGGGGGGATTTCGAGGCAATCTCGGAGCCGGCGGTGGCGGTTTCGGCCGGGCGTACCTCGCACTTCCATGGCAGGTAGTAGGTGGCCGATCGGCAGCGGTTGAGGGGTATCAGGAGGTGCGCGCAGCTGTCTCGGTACTGGATCGGGAGGTTGGCATCGCGCATCTCCTCGCGCGTCGCCTCTGCGTGAGCGCCGGGGGGTCAGCCACGTTCTCGTCGCCGTCGTCGCCGTCCGAGGCGGGCAGTCGGCTTGGGGGGCAACCCTACTGGCGGATCGGACCGGAGGTCGCGGGGGTAGATGTGTAGGGTAGACTTACTGCGCGGCGCTTCCTGTGCCCCGTGACCCATGTTGAAAGTGCAATTGAGAGGCGATGCGAGGTCAATTGCCGTTGTTTGATGCTTGGGCGTTTGAGGCCTCGAATCGTCCCTCGCTCGAAGCTCCACCCCAAGGCGAGAGCTGCGGCTCGGCTGGGACCGCGTCACGTGCGCCTTTTGCCCCGCTAGACCCACCCAAGGATACTGAGTTTTGAGTATCAGATACAGTCGTGCGCTTCCTATAACTTAGCCGGCTCGCGCTTGGACCAAGCGACATCACCAACCTATGCAAATCGCCGTCCGCATCGTGCGAACCGTAATGACGAGCGGCGATTCCACCGTCAGTACTCCTGACTTGCCCGGCCCAGCAGCATCTTGCCCCAAGCTTTGGCGATAACAGTGGCAGCGTTTGCTCCCCGCCCGTGCCACTCTCGAGGTATATTGATGTTCGGAGCTGGTCCAGTCGACCTTGTTAATTTGGTACTCAACCTTGTTCCGCCCCGGGAAATCTGCAAACAATCCAGTGGGAAACATGATTAATTGCCCTGCAGGGTCTGTGACAGCTTGGTGTTTCCTGCGCGCACACACTTGTCATTTGTTTGCCAAGAGCTTCCCGGCAGCATGAAGATTGCCTATATTCGCAACCGCCTCGAGAAACCTCACCTTCCGCTACCATCGCCACCAACTGTCTGTGTATCAGGCCCCAAAAGTGCTGGGTCACGTTTGTTTCTCTGGCCCTATTTATTGATGTAATATTCCTTGCTTCTTGGGCATCCTCGTGGCACGCTAGGTCAAATCTGATACCCAAACAACACACCCGCTTGGACACACCCATCAACTTATGGGTCTATTCCGTTTGATGATGGGAGCCCAAGTCAGGAAAAGGATGCCTCAATATAATCAGAATGCCTCATCAGTTTGACTACGTGTCGTGATCTCGCCATCTCGTCACGCTGCCTCGTGCCACCGACTATGGCTGGCCTAGAGACATGTAGGTCACTGAGCTTTTAAGACGTAGGCTCCTCCCTTCCTTATACACAGAACGTTGCCAAGATAGCACACTCCCTTCAGCGCATTTCTTAAAGTCACTCCTTTCTCCGGCATATCAAGATGCGGACACTTTCCCTTCTCGCAGCGACCCTGTTCTTGATCTGGAGTAACTCCCAGGTCTCGGCAATGCTGGCACGATCTTTCCGGCCTGTCCTACCTATTCTTTCGCTCTCCCCCTTAAACGATGAAGTACGGGCTAGCCAGCAACGGTCGATGGGGAGTGGGACATTCACCCAGTTCATCGACCACAGCAACCATTCCTTGGGAACCTTCTCCCAGAGGTATTGGTGGAATGCCGAGTTCTGGGCGGCCCTGGATCACCGGTATTGCCCCTAGTTGCCCCTAGCTGCCCCTGAAGGCGTTCCTACTTGTGTCTTCCATGCATCCTAACGCTTCACAGGTTGTTCTTTTCAACGCCGGCGAGTTTGACGCTGCGCCCTATGTTGGCTATCTGTCGGACAACGCCATCACCGGCGCCCATGCGAAAGCGGTCGACGGCGCTGTCATCATGATAGAGCGTCAGTACTGCTTCCCATCTAGAAAGTGGCAACTGCACCCTCAACCATCCCGCTGATACATCGTCTAGACCGTGGCTATGGCGCATCTACACCCTTTGCCGAGCAAGACACTGCCAACTTGCAGTACCTCTCCCTGGAAAATGCCATCAAGGACATGGTCCATTTCGCTCGCGACGTGGAGCTGCCATTTGACAACAACCGGAGCAGTAATGCACCCCAATCCGTAAGCCCAGACAAACCCTGGCTTCTACCAAGGGCTATAGAGTGCTGATACTGCTTTCCTACAGCCATGGGTCTTCGTTGGCGCTTCGTGCACCGGGGCCTTGGCTGCTTGGATCCAGAAGCTCGCACCAGGGACCTTCTGGGCGTACCACTCTAGCAGCGGTCCCGTGCAGGCCATCTACAACTTTTGGCACTATTATGTGCCTGTCCAGGAAGGAATGCCTCAGGACTGTCGGAAGGCGTTTGAGCAGATTTCCTCGCAGGTGGACAAAGTGCTCGGAAACGGCACAGCCACTGATGTTGGTCGTCTGAAGGCCATGTTCCAGCTGGAGAAGCTCGAGTACAACGACGACTTTGCCAAGTAAGGGCCAAAAGATCCAGATACGTCCTGGCGAGTCTAGCTAAATCAACGACAATAGTGCGATATCCTCACCACTGGGAGGGTGGCAATCTACTGGTTCTGCCACCGACGACGCAGGTTTCCAAGCCATGTGCAATTCTATTCTGGGCGGAGGGCCAGCCGCGAGGTCCAACCTCACGGCAGGTGGCACCGGTGGGGTAGATGTCCTCACCAACTACGCCAACTGGTTTAAAACGCAATATGTGAGGAACTGTGAGTATCATGCCAACCTGATCCCAGCAGCTTCCTTTGGCTGACCGCGCATCGTCGCCAGCATGATCCGGGTTCAAGTACCCAGAGTGGGAAGCCGAGGGCTCCGTGGGCTGCTTTGACACGCACAACGCAAGCAGCCCCTTCTACCGCGACTGGACCGCAAACAACACGGCCCACCGGCCGTGGATGTGGCAGCTGTGCGACGAGCCCTTCTTCTACTGGCCCACGGGCTCGGCCCCCGAGGGCGTGGCCACCATCGTGCCGAGGGCGATCACGCCAGAATACTACCAGCAACAGTGCGACCTGTTCCTCCCGGAGCAGGGGAACCACACCTACGGCTCCGACGACGGCGCGACGGACATGCAGCTCAACCAGCTGACGGGCGGGTGGAACTTGACCAACACCACGCGACTTTTATGGATAAACGGGTGCGTTTTGCTTCCCTGACAACCCGCGAGAGGAGCCCCTGAAGAATTCGGTGTGCTGATGACCCCTCCCGGTATAGCGAGTTTGATCCTTGGCGCTCCACGTCAGTGTCGAGCGACTTCAGACCCGGTGGTCCTCTAAAGTCGACTCCGGAAGCCCCTGCCCTTGTCATGTCAGGCGCGAGGCACTGCGAGGACATGCAGATACGCAACAATGTGAATCCGGCCGTCGGGGAGGCCTAGGAGGCGGCCACGGCGCAGATCAAGACCTGGGTTGCCGAGTTCTATGCTCAGGGGGACGGGAAGGCCACAGTAGGGAGGGGAAAGACCAGGTGAGGACGGGGAATGTGACGATTGTCGATATCAGCATTGCCAAAGCTCCTTTCGAATCTTTCTTTCTCAAAACGTCTTCCGGTTTTCGTTATTGATCGGAACTTTCAGGCAGGAGATTTAATGGGATAGCCAGGGGGCAGAAAAGAAGCATAACCACAACAACCCGAATTTTTTATCTCGTCGATTTTGACAGCACCAATACGGTCCTGACAAATCCCGTCGTGTGATGCCGTAATACCAGAGTGCGGTGACTTCCTGTGCCTCCCATCCGTCGGGTTGATTGGCAAACATTGTGAGCAAAACGCAAGACACGTGACATGTCCTCTTTTTGCCAGCCTTCCGGATCCGGTGTTCGCCTGATGATTCACGGTGAGTTCAAGGCTTTGCCAGGAGGCTAAGCATGGCTTGGAAACAGAACCGGATGCCGCGTGGTGTAAGCATGGGAGAGATGCCGCCTCAATTGCCTGGTGGCTGCCACTCAAATCCCTGCGCAATGATTTCTTATGATGTGAATTGAGTGGAGGCGATTGGATTTCGCCCTTTTGATGAACGCGCCAGCGCCACTGCACCAGGTGGTGCTGGCGGGCGATTTGTGAGTCGAGTCACACCTCCGCTGGTCCCCACATCCCATTAGGTCAAAAATAAGACCCCGCCTTTGGACGGTCGCCTTTGTCCCCTCGACCCGTCGCTGTAGAAAGCACACCTGCCCTCCTCGTCCTCTTCGGGGATCTTCAATATTTTTTTCGAGATACCAGAATCGCCTGCGCCAAACCCCCCTTTTTTCTCCAGACTCGTCCCTCGAATCCGTCAAAATGCCCAAGAACAAGGGAAAGGTAGGAACCTCGGATTCCTATTAATTTTACCCCACCATACGATGGATTGCCAGGCGGTGCCCAACGCGTGCGCCGGAGCGACGACCGACACCACAGCCGGCCGTACGTGACCTATAAAATAGCTGACACCAATGATATACAGGGAGGTAAAAACCGACGGAGAGGAAAGAACGAGAACGACAAGGAGAAGCGCGAGCTCGACACGATAGACCTCGAGGATGCGGAGCAGGAGGATCTTGGTACGTTTGGTTTTGTCTGGCGCATCCGAGTTGAACGCCGGTTACGAGAGTGAACTGCGCACCGCATTAAACGGACCGATCGCTGACCTGCCTTTGAACCCCCCAGAATACGCCCAGATCATCACTGCCTACGGCGGCTGCAAGTTCGATGCCGTCTGCTACCGTCCCACAAGCGAGGCCAAGACCGACTGGGGCTCCGAGAAGAGGGTACTCCACGTCCGTGGAAAGCTCCGAAAGAAGCAGTGGTACGTGGCTGCTTGTCCTTGGCGTGGTGCTGTGCCTGGTCCTGCGAACACACCTGACTGACCACACGTCCGCCGCCTGCAGGGTCAATGTCGGCGACATCGTCATCTGCTCCAAGCGCGAGTTCGAGCCTGCCAAGGGCGACATTATCCAGAAGTACACCAGCGACCAGGCTCGTGAACTGAAGGCGGAGCGTATGTTACCTTTCCCACCTTGTCTATCGGGTCGGCAGCAGGACCCGACAATCGCTGACCATGGCTCTGCCATCCCTCTCCAGGCCACATTCCCCCCTACGTCCAGATCAACACTGCCGACACGGGTGGTGACGAGCGTGGAGATGACCCGGGAATCGAGTTTGGTGCCGACGACGACTCCAGCGAGGAAGAGGGCCCAACAAACAAGCGGGAGATCGACATCGACGACATTTGAGGGGGTCGTTTACGAACCAAACCTCATTTCGGCATGGCTGTCTCCATGGAACCCACCCTCAGTGCGCAAGGGGCTCACAGAGAGATGCTCATGGAACCTTCCCAGAGAAGCTCGGCCGAGAAGGCCGCGGCGATGTCACTCGCAGAGTGCTCACTCGTTTCGTGTCTATCTGGCCTTGCTGGTCCGCCTTTGTGGACATTGGATGGCTTTGGTGCCTGGACTCGATATTCGAGGGCGAAAATGTGCATAGTTGGAGGTCGGAGCCGGAGTTACGAAGCACAGGATTCATTCTGCATATCGGCGTCCCTCAACATTCCGAGTAGTGGGTTATGCTGGATTGTGTGTTGCAACGTGCCATTTGTTCCATCAGTACAACAGAATAATGACGGTTTGATCCCAAGTCTAGGCGGCCCCGTACCCGATGCTCGCTCGGAAATTTGACGCTGCTCTACTGGATCCCCAGGGATCAGGCTAACCGGATCACGATTGTCATGGAAAAAATGGATGGCTGGGAGAACAGAAGGCGATCGGAGAATAAAAGCAGAGAATGAATGGGGCCAATAAAGGGGGAACAAACAGGGAAACGAGAAGGGGCAAAAAGGAAGAAACAAAAGGAAAACAAACCGGCACTAAAATGAGAAAGGAAAAGCAAGTGAAGAAAACAAAAAGATTGGAAATAAATGTATTGCAGAATAAACACGCGCAAGGCGACAAGGGCAGGCGGAAAACCACATGGCGCGGAAAAGCGGTAAAATGAACGACCACGACGATCAACGGAGGGTGCAATTTGGACGGTCGCAAATGGAGCCATTGACGCCATTCGCAGCGCAGTGGGGCGAACCGGAACCAAACAACCGCAGGCAACCCCCGTCGCTAAATCACCTCCCCGCTAGATTCTCACAGGCGACGGCCAACCCGCGCCCTAGGCGGACATTTCGAGGCTTGGCTTTGGGTGAGCTTGCTTTTGCTCTCCAACCTGCCGTGTCAGCGTGCGTCCTCAAATACCCCCGAGGCTCCAGAATGCGTGGGCTGCTTCGCGCGCGGGCGTGCTAGACGTAATCTTAGGTACTGCCTGCTTTACTTACCTACGTATTTAGCGTCCTTGCTCGCCCTCCCCCACCCGGCCAGACTTTTGCGCTAACAGATAGTTGGAAGATAAGGCCGAGCGAGACGAGTCGACGCCAGACATAGGTACGCCAAACAGACATCAGACACAACCTTGCAAGATACCAGTCACAGAGCCCCAACAACCCGGATGCGCGGGATTCCACGTCGACTTGCGCACCACGCCGGACTGACCGCCTCATCTGCGGACCAGCCCTACCGCCAACCACCTACCTACCTGGCCACCCTGCCTGCATAAGCAAACTAGCCCTCGTGGCAACGCGGCGATAGACACCCGAGTCCCTCCTCCCCCCGGCGAGCAGCTAAGTACGTCACCTCGACGGAGCCAGGCCTGGCCTGCCTCGACGCCTTTGGCTACCCAAGCCCACACACACACGCACACACACACACCACTCCCACCCACCCGTGCGGTATGCCGCGGGCCGACGGCTGGTCCTCGCGGGCCGGGTCGCGGGTCCCGGTGCGCCCGTCAACGGCGGGCGCCCAGCAGCAGCAGCAGCAGCAACAGCAACCGCAGCTGCAGGGGCCCCTGTCACCGTTATCACCGCAGCTTCCGGACCAGGCCGTGTCGGTGCTGTTCTGCTGCCTCGGCAACATCTGCCGCTCGACCATGGCCGAGGGCGTCTTCCAGAGTCTCACAAGGACTCCACAATACAAGGACCGCGTCGGGAGGATCGACTCGTGTGGCACGGCGGCCTACCACACGGGCGAGCCGCCCGACTCGCGGACCATGGAGACGCTGAGGGCGAATGGTATTGTCGACTATTACCACTCGGCGAGGAAGGTTGGTGGTTCTTTTGTGTCTTTTCTCCCGTCCGTCTCTTGTCTGATCCCTCCTTTGCGTACCCCGATGGATATCCCAACCGGCATCTTGCTCCTTCCAATAATGTAACTGACCCCGGACGTGCCTCTCTACCCACAGGTGAACAACAAGGATTTTGACACGTTCGACTACATCTTCGCCATGGACCGGTCAAACCTCAAGGACCTGCAGCAGATGAAGGCGAGCCTCAAGCGGCTCAAGGGCCAGGACAGCAGGGCCAAGGTGATGCTCTTTGGCGAGTTCTCGGGCACGGGCAGGGTCGAGGTGGTCTCGGACCCGTACTACGGCGGCGACGACGGGTTCGCGCTCACGTACCAGCAGGCCGTCCGCTTCTCGGAGAACTTCCTCAAGGAGACGTTCCCGGACGCGGCGGCGGAGGCATCTCCTGCAGACGGGAGGCCCGAGGCAGCAGGTACAGGCGATAATGTGGTAAATGTCGGTGGGAGCAGCAGCGGCGACAGCTGAGTACGGGGACGGAGGACGACGGGGACGACGAGACGGAGGACGGACGGATCCAACGTGGAGGAGGGGGCGGGACAAGACGGACGACGGCATACTACATATACTTGGGGTCTTAAGATTCACAAGCTCATCAGGCATCGGGATGTGGAGCAAATAATAATTCAAGGAGGCATGCATGCAGAGCGGTCATCGGGACCAGGGGTTGAGACGCGCGAGGAGGGGCGGGTGGCAGGGGAGAGCAGCCCGCAGGAGAACGGGGTGAATGGCCGGGGTTTTTTTTTGATGGGTGGCCGGGAACGGGGAGGCTTGTCCACAACAGGTTTCCGCCCTTCTGGCGTGGCAGGGAAAGTAGAAGCGGGAGCACTAGTCCATGTGAGAGTCGGCTTTCTCCTGATCGCGTTCTTTTCGTTTTGAGCCTTGGTTGCTGCCTGTGCTGCTGTGATGCGCGCATTCCAAAAACTCGGTACTGGGAATCCAGCAAGGCCCAGCTGGCCGTCCCGTGACGACGGATCCATAGCTCTGTCCTACGAGAAGTCCAATCGAAACGTTAGAGGCCGAACGCTCGACGCCACCAACCCTCGCGCTTGTCCGCAAATGGCCTTTCTGGCGGGCAGCCCAAGTGGGCAGCCCGCTTCAGCCGCACGCCGCGCTGTCGAGCGCCAGGCGCTCTTGCTCCCTCGCAGTCCCTCTGCGTGGTCCCAACCGCATGGGCGCTAATCCTGCGCTCCTCTATCGTCCTGCTGCATTGCTGCTGTCGTTGACAGTGGCATTTCTCGCTGCCTGTTCGCTGCCTACTGCCTGCCGAGGGGCTTGGGGCAGACTGATATCGCTCGACGACGCCAGGGCTTGCTTGTTCTAGCGAGCTGCTGCTGCAAATCACGCTGCCCGTATCCCACCCTCCCTGCTCGCCGCACCCCGCCGTCGCCGTCAAATCGGGTCTGTCGGGCGCGAAACAGCCAGTCGAGCCGACGGGCGGATAATATGCAAGCCCCTTTGCGTGGGTGAAGGCTCAGGTCACATATCATACCCCTGACACCCTCTGGGGCTGCGAACAACGAACCGCGATCCAGGCGACGCCGGCCGCCGAGTTCGGCATTGCCACAATCTGCGCTCGCAAAGCATAGTCAACTATCCCCGAGATATAATCAACGGCCAGTCCACAACAACAACGTACGCGCACATACACACACAATGTCGGGCCTCCCAGAGGGCTGGGAGTCCGACTACGACGGGTCCCGATGGTACTACCGCTATAAGGCGACGGGCATGACCCAGTTCCAGTTCCCGCAGCCCGGCGACGAGTTCTCCGAGTATTTTGGCTCCTTCGCCGGCCCCGTCAGCCTCGCGCCCGAGGAGAGGCTCGAGAGTGACCGCCAGATCAAGCGCAAGTCCACCACCAACGGCCGCGACAAGAGCCTCGACGCCGCCGCCCGCCAGGCCGCCCGCCAGAGCTCCGCCGCCGCCGCCGCCGCCGACGTCCCCGAGCCCGGCCGTGCGGGCTGGGACAACCTCATGTACCTCGGTCCGGGCGGCGGCGGCGGCGGCGGCGGCGGCGGTGCTACCATCGCCGGGACATCGCCCCTGGTGGCCGCGTCGTCGTTGCTCTCGCCCAACCCCGAGCTGCCCGGCGACAGGGCCCAGGTCTCACCCCTGACCAGCGCCGGCGGGACCCCGCGCGTGTCGCCGCCCAGCGAGGTGGCGGGCGACAGCCGGGTCCCGAGGCCGGAGCCGCCGCCTGCTTCGGCCGACGGGTTCGTCATGGTGTCACCCCCTGTGCCGAACCTGTCGGCGCCCGGTATTGTCGCCAACGCACCGCATCCGCAGCCGGGGCCTGCTCAGCCGGGCTTCGTCCCAGGGCCGGTTGGCGCTCACCCTCATCCCGGCGTCTTGCCATCAACCGTTCACCCTATGGGGATGGCAGTGTCGGTAGTAGGGTCGGCCGGTTTTCCTGCTGTGGCCAATTTTGCCCCTGGTGCTCTTGTACCCGGCGCGCAGGGCGTCCCCATGCCCCTTGGCGGTGCACATGACCCGCGGAACTTGCCCATGCTGGACGGCTGGCAGCGGCCGTTTGAGCTGCCGGGCAACGCGACTACGTGGTCGCCGCTAGGGTCACTCGCAGAGCTTGCCAGCGAGTCGACCGGCAAGTGCTACGAGGACGTCTTCCCCACGCCGGTCGAGCTGCCAGGACACGACGCCGGCAGCGCTGCCGCCGCTCAGACCCAGCAGCAGCAGGCACCACCACCGAATGTCCAGGCCGCTCCGATGGAGCTCCCAGTAGTGTCTCCCGAGTATGCGATAGCCAGCCCTGGGGCTGTGGTGGCGCCACCTAGAGCTGCAGGCCAGCAGCCGCTGACGGGCCTGAGCAGCGGCCATGTGGAGAAGGGTCGGCAGCATCCTCAGCCGCATGCTCAATCAGTGTCTGCGGCGCCCGGAGATAACAGCGGCCATCAACTCCACCAGGGCCCTTCAGCCGCAGCCGTGCAGCCAGGGCCCTCGTTGGCTGGCCAGGTATTTATAGCCGGTGGCGTCCCGCCAAGAGTCGAGCTGAACCCTTCGAAGCGACAATCTGTCGCAGGAATTCCAATAATCCCTCCTGCTGAGGCTGAAAGGCCTAGGCCTGAACAGAACCACCCTTGGTCGCAGCAGCAGCAGCCGCCTCAAATACCACCCAAACACCATTTCTCCCATCCCCAAGGCCCGGCGCACCACCCCGCACCACCGCTGGGCGCCAGCGTGCTCCCGGGTACAAAGGCTCGGCACGAGAGCATCTCGCAGGAGCCGCACCGGAGCGTCCTACATACCCAGTCCTTCCCCGGCCAGCCGTTCCCTGCCCCTGGGGATCAGCTAGAGCCCGGCGCGCTGTCCACGCCTTCGATCCTCAGACCAGCCAACGGCCGGCCGATGCAGCCCGGCCCTCGGCAGCCCAGGCCGGACATGGCCGAGCCGAGACAGTCGTTCCAGATGCCTCCGAAGCCGTACATGGTGTTTGCCACAAGTGGCGTCGGACCTGCCGGCGCGGGGTTTCAGCAGGCACCGATGGTCCCGGCTGGCTTTGTCCAGCAGCAGCAGCAGCAGCGGCAGCAACCGCAACCGCAGTATGGGGCGCCTTCTGAGACCATGCGAATGGTAACGACGGCACCCGTGCTGCTCCCCGCGGATCCCGCCATGGCGTCTGCTTCTGACCCCCTCCCTCCGATCCTCGACGCGCAGAACAAGTACCGAGGGGTTTCACACATGGCGCCCAGTATGGGGCTATCTATGGCCACGCATTCTCTACAGCCGGCTCAAGCAGTCGAACTTGAAAACAGCAGGGCCGGAACCCCCGTTTCCAGCGAGAGGCAAGCGCAGGAGCCTGTTGGCCGGGAAGGAGCTCCCGCGGTCATCCAAGTTCTTCGGACGACATCGCCGAGCACCGAGGATTCATTCGTGATGGTCACTAATGTCGTCGCGTCGGAGGACGTGAAGCCGCCAATAATGGGTTCTGAAAGTGTACCGACGGCGGGCCCGACAGAGCCATCAGATCTTCCCCTAACGACCGCCAATTTTGCTGTGGTCGACGCCCCAGAGAGTGTACTAGTGCAGCCAGAGCCGCCCGCGCTTACAAACACGGCGGATTTGCCCAATCCCGCCGAGCAACCAAGCAGTAGTGAAGACAAGGCCACACTTGAGAAGCACAACGTCATGCTGGAGAGCGCCGTTATCGAGACCGCGCCCATTTCGGCTGCCGCCGAGGCTACGCCTGTAGAGGCATCTACGGATGGGGGTTTGGCAGCAGCACAGGAGTTTGCGGTGCCAAGCATTTTGTCCTCCAACCTCGTAGCCAGTGAGCAGATTGTGCAGATTCAGCCGAGCCCGCAGACCCAGAATCCGGCAACCGCACAACCCGAGGCTGCTGAAATTGCTCCCCTTACATTTTCAGTGGTTCATGCAGGTAAACCTGAACCTCGTGGTGGCGCCTCCACCCCTGCTCCTCAGACACTCGGCAACCAGCCCAACAGCCAGGGGCAGACACCAGAGCCAGGGCAGTTTACTATTGTTTCTGTGTCTGCGGCCCAACCGGACGCCTCAATGCAAATGCAGAGCTCGGAAGAGACTGCTGGGGCAACAGCCCAACAGCACTCATCACCTGGGCCCATGGCATCTGTGGCCAGCCAGCCAATGCCTCCCCCTGGCCAAGCTGTTCCGTCTGGCATCCTGCAGCAGCAACCATGGGGAACACCCTCTGCAACACCGCCCCCTGTCGGCCACAATTCCCCAGCCCGGCGTTCTATCAGTTCCGCACATAGAGCTTCTGTGGCGTCCCAGCATGGGTATTTCCCGCAAGGCTCCCCAGGGCCTCAGTATCCCGGCGGGCCGACGCAGCCTCCGCTGGCTGCTTCCCTGACTTCGCAAAACGGCGTGGCTCCGGGTATGCCTAGCGAGTGGCAGTTAGGCGCAGGTACTCAGGAGGCCCAGTCGCGAGCTCCTCCGTCGGTGTCCTCACCGCTTGCCAGCCAGATGCCAAGTTCGCCGCAGCAGCCATCGCCGGTTTCTCTGGTTGGCGTTCCGGCTGCCACCCCATCCATTGCAGCGGCACAGGCCTCAGGGCTTCTCCTGCAGCAGGGACAACAACAGCAGTCGATGTCGCCTCAGGTTCCTGTACCGCAACAGCAACAGCAGACGCCGCAGCTGCAGGCGGCTCAGTCGGCCATGGGCATGCCTGGCGCAGGCCCCACTACCATGCCTCAACAGCCTCAATATGTGCTATATATGCATAACGGTGTACAGTACGCTGTCTTGTCACAACCGGCTCAGCAGCCACAGACGATGCAGCCAGCTGCAGTATTCACGCAACCCCAGCCCGCGCAGATCCCCACAACGCACTCGCCAGCTCCCTCGGTCGCCGTGCCGTATACCCAACCCATCTCCGCCGCCGCTGCGCAAAGTCCAGTACCTGGACCTGCTGCCCCGTACCAGGCGTCGTCGCCCGTGGCGGGCGGCAGCCCACATACAGTACACTCTCCAGCCTCCCATTCTGCAACCCCTTCGTTGAGCGGCATGGGTTCGATAAGGAGAAAGCCGGCCCAGCCACAGACCCAGGGTGGCAGCCCGCAGCTGCCACAGGGGGGATCCTTTGCGAACCAGGGGGTCGCACATAGCCCCCACGCGAGCATATCGTCGCAGAGCCCGAATGTAACCACGACCGCCCCTTCGTCAGGGCACGCAACCGCTCATGGGAGTCCCATGGGGACGCCGCACAGCCAGACGGCGCAGACGACGCCCATGTCCGCAGCGCAGTCGCTCCAGCGCACCGCGTCGCAGCATGCCAGCCCGGCTCCGGCGACCGCGTCGCCGTCGCAGCTCCCGGGCTCGCCGCCATGGCAGCAGGGCCTCACGCCGCTGCAGCAGGGGCACCAGCTTCTGCAACAGCGTGCCGTGCAGGCCGCCTACTCGCCCACCGGAGGGGCAGTCCACATCCCAACGGCGCAGCAGCCCGCAGCCTTGCAGCAGGGGCACCAGCTCCTGCAGCAGCGTGCCCAACAGGCCGTCCAGATGCAGAATGCCCAGGGGGTGCCGGCCATCAGCCAGTTCCAGCCTGTTGCTGGGACTGCTGGTGTTCCGGGCCAACAGTTGCCCGTGGGAGCACAAAGCGGCCAACCGCAGGGCCAGAACAGTCCCCTTGGCCTTCAGCAGCAGCAGCAGTCGCCGCAGGGGTTTAATGCACAGGCACAGCCGCAGATAAACGCCCAGCTACAACCAGCACAACAGGCCATGTTGCAGCAGCAACAGCAACTACTACAGCAGCAGTCTGTGGCTATGCAAGGCCCGCAGCAGGCTGTGCGTCCACTGCAGCCGGGGCAGCAGGTGATGCAGCAACGGCCCGGGACATATTTGCAACAAGGCCAGATTCTCCAGCAGCAGCCAATGGTGTCACAAGGACAGCAGCCCATGATGATGCAGGGGCAGCAACCAATAATGGTACAGGGGCAACAGCCGATGAGAGTCCAGGGACAACAGCCCGTCATGGTCCAGGGACAGCAAACAACAATGGCGTACCGCCCCGGGCCCGCGCCCGTCCAGGGACAAGCACAGGGCAGCAGCGGCAGTTCCGGCAAAAGCAAGAGCTGGTTCTCCAGGCTGTTTGAGACACCCACGCCGCCTCAGAACAAAGGCCCAAAGCCTCTCAAGCAACACCCGGCCTTTTCTCAACAGCAGCAGCAGCAGATGCAAGCGAGGCCTCCGCAGCAACAAGTGCTTCAACAACAGCCGGGGATGGTGTATCAACAGCAAATGCCGCAACAGCAACGGCCTCCACAACAGCTGCAACAGATGCCCCAGCAACAACAAATGCTTGGGCAGCAGAGACCTCCGCAGCCGAGTATGCAGCCGCAACATATTCAACAACAGCAGATGCAACAGCAGATGCTTCAGCAGCAACTACTACGGCAACAGATGGCTCAGCAAAACAGACCACCACAGCAGGCACCTCAGCAACAGCAAGCCCAAAGCCAGCAGCCGCAACAACAGCACCCCCTGGGGCAAGCGGTCGAGCAATTTACAAACGCACTGCAGGCGGTGAACGACCAACAGGGCCAGCAACAACAGCTACTACAAACCTCTCAGGGGCAGGCACAATATGCAGCCCAAGGCTTCCAGCAGCAGCAGCAGCAAGCACTAGTCTACCAGTACTTGCAGCAGCAGCAGCAGCAGCAACAGCAGCTACTACAGCAGCAGCAGCTACAGCAGCAGCTACAGCAGATGCAGCAGGCAACGCCTGTCAGCCCCGTGAGCGCATCGCAGTCGCCGTTCCAGTCACAACAAGCCGGCCCATTCCCACCGCAGGACGCCGAATGGCAACCGCAGGCCGGCGTGTCGGGAATCCAGATGATCGACGTGGCCCAGATGAAGAAGGCGCTGGAGAGGGCCCTCGGCACTCCGCAGGACGCCGACGCCGGCGGAGACGCCGCGGCTGCTGCTGCTGGCGGCGGCGATATCGGCGCGTCTATGGGCGACGACGGCGCCATGACGCAGGCCTTGCTCGGCGGCGGCGGCGGCATCGGCGTCCCCGAGACGCCCATGGTCGACGCGCAGTACATGGTCCCGCCGCTCTTCTCGAGCGCCGGCGCCCAGGGTCAGATCGCGGCCCTGGCCTCGCCCCCGGCGGACGGCCTGGCGGCGGGCGGAGAGGCCGGGGGGCTCGGCGGCGGCGTGGCGTCCGAGGTCGGGGCGGGGTCGGGGGCAACCTCGGACTACTCTGCGCTCCTGGGCGTCCCGGCTGTGGAGGATGTGAACGCGGACGGGGTGAGTGTCATTGCCGACTATGAAGGGTCGGGCTGGGGGGATATCGAGTTTTGATGTTGGGAGATGGTGACGGAATAATTTGAGAGGGTTTCTGGATACCTAATAGTTAGGATATAGGAAAGGGGAGGGATATATATAGCTATAGAAGAAATGTTGATTCGGACTACGCAGCGTCGTTGTTTTGGGATGCGTTGGCGACAGTATGACTGTTAGTAGTATGACTGGTAGTTCCGGTAGGGCTGAGTGAGGGATGCTGAAGGGCAGCTCTGGTAGCCAGTTTTCAGTCGGTCGGGGCCTGTTCTCTGTATCGTTGTTGCAGCGTCGCGACTGAAATCAAGGACGTGATGGGCACTTTGGATGTAATCTGTTTTACTCCTGATGATGTTGAGATCCCATTCGACAGAGGGTGGGAGTGGCACAAGTTTACGGACAGCGTCATGTATCACTGTTGGGAAAAAATGTAGAACATGGGATCTAGAGTGTCACGCTACTTACTAGGCATTAGCGCAACCAGAGAAGCACCAAACTTATCACTTTCCCTCAAAGCCATCTTTTTTAGAAGAGAAAGTAATGGTTAATTATTTATTCCTGTCCCTTGTAGGCTGGAGCCCAGGCGCTAACACACGGTCAGCAAAATGAGTGGAATGTTGGTTGCATCCTCTTGAGTGATGTTGGGTGCCTGGCCTTTGGTCTCATGCCATCAGCCAATCAAATGTTTCATTCCGGGGTATGTTGCGGGGTCATCTGGCCGCTTTTGGAGACGGGGCACCCAACAGCACTCAAAGGAATAGCACAGGGATGACGCGAGGAGGCCTGGTGACGACCTAGGCCTGGCTGTGCTGTCCGGCTTACGACATGGAGTCGACAAATAATGCCCCAGCGACACATAAATAGCCAAGTACCTACCCTGTGGCAACTACCAGACGCGCACTCCTCGACGTCAAAGATGGAGGCCCACGACCAGGCGGTCGCGGCCATCGCCTCACGCGTGCGCCGGTTCTCGGAGCGCCAGCAGCCGTTCCGCATCTACCACGGCTCCACCAACAGCACGCGGCACTCCGACAAGAGACCTGACAACACGGTCGACACCAGCCAGCTGGACCGCGTGCTGTCCGTCGACGCCGGCGGCTCCGGCACCGCCGTGGCCGAACCAAATGTCCCCATGGACGCCCTGGTGGCCGCCACCCTTCCCCGCGGCCTCGTTCCGCCCGTGGTCATGGAGTTCCCCGGCATCACCGTCGGCGGCGGCTTCTCGGGAACATCGGGCGAAAGCAGCTCCTTCCGCTACGGCGCCTTTGACGCCACCGTCGTGCGCATCGAGATGGTCCTGCCGACGGGGGAGGTGGCGCATGCGTCGCGCACCCAACGGCCGGACCTGTTCTGGGGCGCGGCCTCTGCGTTCGGGACGCTCGGCGTCGTCACCCTGCTGGAGGTCCGCCTCATCGCGGCGAAGCCCTTTGTGGAGCTCGAGTACCGCCTGTCCCGCAGCATCGCAGAGGCCGTTGAGCAGATGCGGGTGGAAACAGCCCGGGACGACAACGACTTTGTGGACGGCATAGCGTACTCTTCGGACGCGGTCGTCATCTGCGCGGGCCGCATGGTCGACACCGTCCCCGACGGCGCGTCGCAGCGCCGCTTCACCCGGGCCAGGGACCCGTGGTTCTACATACACGTGGAGAAGCACGCCTTGCCGCGCCTCAAGAAAGCCGCACCCGACGGCGGCGGCGGCGGCGGTGTAACAGTAAAAGACTACATCCCGCTGACGGACTACCTCTTCCGCTACGACCGCGGCGGCTTCTGGGCCGCGCGCTGGGCGTTCCGCTACTTCTGCACGCCCTTCAACCGGATCACGCGGTTTGCGCTGAACCCGCTGATGAGCACGCGCGTCATGTACCGCGCGCTGCACAAGTCGGGCCTGGCCGACTCGTACATGACGCAGGACGTCGGCGTGCCCATGGACGCGGCGCCCGCCCTGGCCGCCTGGCTGGCCGCCGAGATGCCGGCCGTCCTCCCGCTCTGGCTGTGCCCGCTGCGGGTGCGGCGCGAGGGCGGCGCGGACGCGGCGCACGGCCTGCACGCCCGGTTCGCGGACCCGACGCATCCCGACCTGCTCAACTTTGGCGTCTGGGGCGAGCTGCCGTCGACGGTACGCGGCCGGCGCGACGCGGTGCGGGTCAACCGCGCGCTCGAGGCCGAGGTGGCGCGGCTGGGCGGCACCAAGTGGCTGTACGCGCAGGCCTTCTACACCGAGGACGAGTTCTGGGCGCGCTACGACCGGGCGAGCTACGACGCGCTGCGGGCGCGGTGCGGCGCCGTGTACCTGCCGAGCGTCTACGACAAGGTCAGGGTCGACGTCGAGGCCGAGGAGGCGGCGGCGGCGGCGGCCCGGGCGACGGGGCTCGCGCGCCTGAGGCGGACGCTGTTCCGGGTGTGGCCCGTCCGCGGCCTGTACGGTGTGTACAAGGCGCTGGAGGGGGGCGACTACCTGCTGCAGAAGACGCGGCGGCCCTTGGAGGTTTCTGGGAAGTGACTCGTGTGTGTGTGTTGTTTTTTTTTTTTCATTTGTTGTTGTTATCTGGTGATGATTTATGCCAAATACGGGAAGAGAAGCCTCGGTATGGCAGCATTTTGAGCCAGCGCTTTTTTTTTTTAAGATGCCTAGCTGTGTAGGTAAACGTGCAGACTAATTCCAAGGGGACCTCCAAGGGGGCCTCCGAGGGTACCATTCAGCCTGCCCACTGGCATATTCTTGCCCTGTCTAAACTAGGCTCGCGAGGTGCGCTTCGAGACGATGCTGCCATTTGTCCAAAGTGCTTCTTTTTAGGGAGACAGACCCCCACGCTTCGGTGCAGCCCAGGTTTCGAGTTGAAGGGTGTGTTATGATTTCTTGCACCACTCATTGCTGTTTATTACGCGCGGCGGATAAATTTGGAACTGCCAACGTCGCTCGCTGCAAGTGCTGTTGCTGCCTTGCATTCCCATTCTCCGTTCTTTAGCTGCACTTGGGTTGGTAGGGAAGGGCCCCCACTTGTTGGCAAGCCAAAGTACCGACTACGTCCACGATCCTTTTCCCATCTTCATCGCACAGCATCCTATCGACGCCCTAGTCGAGCTTCGCCATGCTCACCACAGACGTTAGTCTTTTTCAACGCCCAATCAGCGTTAGCGCATCTACACGGTGGCGCAACGGCTCCGTGGTCCCGTTCCCGCGCCACACCTAGCCGTCGGCAGCCGATGCCTGGCGGATGCCAGCACCAGCAGCCCCCTTGACTGTTGCGTCACCCAGCCTTCTTGTTTAACGTAGCATCGACGCCTGCCCTCCGCATGCCGATCCCACCCATCCGCTCGCCACACACCCTCACACCCCTAGAACATGCTTATCCGCGATCGCGCCACACTTCCCGTGCGGGCCCCAGATTCTCCCGGCGCGGGACGGATATGAGGAAACTGTGCCGCTTGGTTTCTAATCTTTTTTAGGGTTGCAAGCCGCCCCATTAAATTGCTGGCGGCATCGGCTCATTTGCCCGGAGCAACCGCTACGAGCCGAATCATGGAGCTGTTGACTCCTGTTTTGTACCGTCTCTTCTGTCCATTGGCGTGGGTGACAGCTCGCGGCTTAGCCAAAAAAAACCCTGCCCTATATTTCCTTCCTGCTTGCCGCTCACCCACGTGCCTCGACTGGCTATCCTTGTCGGCAGTTGTGCTAGCTCAGCAGCGGTGGCTGTGCCTGATTATTGGGCTGGATAACAGAAAACGCCCGGCAAAGCTCCGAACGGGCCGACGTCTCACTGGCTCTGATGTCGGAGCAGCTTGACCTGGCCGTCTAGACGCCCGCCTCGGCTGCCACAGACGCATGCACCATAGCCCAGGCGTGAGGCGCGGGAGATCAACCCCCCAAGGCACACAGGGCTCGCATGTCGCCGCATCCTGTGCCGTTCAGCGTCGCATCCCAATCTTCAAAGGGGACAGACCGTTACGTCTTCGGCCTGCAGGAGTCGCCCGTCCTACCTGGTCGTCATGATACTTCTGCTGCTGGTCCTATTTTTCCTTGTTCTTTTTCGGATGAAGTAGTGTCACAACAATAGACACCTGTCAATATCCCACCACCACCCCTGGCCCCTCTCTGCCGCGCCTCGCTAAAGTCAGGGTCTTGTACTTCCATGACCGCATCCTCGGGCGCGCTTGTCATTTCTGCCTCCTGCCCCCGGCCGGACGGAAGTCCTGTAGCGCGCCCGCCGGACCCAGGGGTCCATCTAGCCAACTCGACCCAGGGTACGGGTGAGATTCCCAGCTCGTTGGCAGAAAGAGCTCCACCACCCGCAGTGCCAGGGTGACGTTCCCTCGTCCTTTGTTACAGGTCAAGATATGATGCTATTTTCAGAAAAGTACGAGACCAGCTCCTGCCAGACGGCAGCCTTCTTCTCGCCCATCACAGAGCCAGCAGCTTTCGGGTCGTGAGGATGAAGATAGAGGAGCAGTCAAGTCAGCCTGGGCGCAGGGTTGGTGATCGCTCCTGCGTCCTGTCTCGCTGTCCTTTTTCGTTACGGATACTATTCATCCTTCCCGGCTTGGGCGGTGGGAACAAGACTCTGGCATGTGTTTGTGATTAGCCATTCGCGGCCGCGCGTGTGGCATACTCGTCCCGCCGCGCTCGCAGTCGAGCATCGTATCCAAGTATATATCCCCTCCGCGCCCACCGCTATCCTGCTCCAAGACTGCAATGCTGACACCAATCTCCTCGACCACAAGGCCTGGCACCTTCTTTTCTTTCCTATTGTTATTGTAGATTCCGGCTAGCCATATACACACGGCCCTGCCATATCCGCTGTCATTACTGCATATATTGACGCCATCCTTTCTTTGCGACAAAATACAATATTGTCTCGTCAAGTCTTCTACCCAGCATTATAGAGATATCTCTCATATTCCTCTTCTTGCCCTGCATTCTGCATATCCTGGCTCACCTCTCCTACTTGCATAATTTCTTCCTCGTATCCCCTTCCCTGTTACAACTGCGAACACTAGCCACCACACCCCTCATAACATTATGACAAACCCAGAGAAGACACCGCCACAGACTCAGGAGCAGACGCACTGGCCAATGCCAATGCCAATGCCCTCGTGCGAGGAGCTTGATAGGCAAAGCGTCTTCAGCGACTCTTCCAGCTCGACAATCTCCCGGCCAACCAGAGCATTCTTCTTGGGATGCCGAGAGAGCCAGATCATTGACATTCGCGCTCTGGAGGAGGGTCAAGCGCCTTTGACCAACACACCTGTCGACTCTCTCGGCATCCGCAGCCCACCCAACATGGTCGTGGAGCCACCATCCGCTCCTGGATCGGCTCCTCTTCCACGAGCTCTCCCCAGTGACGGCGATGAGGACCTTCTGCCGCTGCCACCAAAAAGGGGATCCCGCGCTTACCGCTATGCTCGATGGAATTTCGGCTCGGTCTACAGGCGCATCTTCACACTGGCGTTCCTCGGTAACCTTTTGGTCTTGATCATCCTTGTCGGCCGCGGCGCGGCTGGAGGCCCGCGTCTCACATACAAGGACGCCTCGGTTGCGGTGTCGGCCAACCTTTTCGTGGCGCTCCTGATCCGCAACGAGCACGTGGTAAACATCATGTTCATCGTCTTCGGAACCTGGCCCAAGAACCTGCCCCTGCGTTTCCGGCGCCTGTTCGCCAAGGTGTACTCGTACGGCGGCATCCACAGCGGCTGCGGCGTTGCCGCGACGGTGTGGTACATTGCCTTTGTCGCCCTCATCACCATCGACTACCAGCAGAGGAACCGGGACCAGATGCTCTCCGCTCTGAGGGGCTACGTGTACCTGGTCACTTACAGCATCTTTGTCTTGCTCGCCCTCATCCTCGTCTTCGCCTACCCGAAACTGCGCGTGGCCATGCACAACTGGTTCGAGGGCGTCCACCGGTTCATGGGATGGTTCGTCGTGCTGCTGTTCTGGGCGCAGACGCTGCTCGTCACCCTCGACGACGCGCCCGCCGCGGGCCTGTCGGGCGGGCAGGCCCTGGCCGCGAGCCCGTCCTTCTGGCTCCTCGTCCTCATCACGCTGCTCGTCGTCTACCCCTGGACCCGCCTCCGCCGCCGCGACGTGCAGGTCGAGGCGCTGTCCGAGCACTGCGTCAAGCTCAACTTCGACTTCACCGACGGCCACTACGGCCAGGCGATCCGGCTCTCCGACGCGCCGCTGCGCGAGACGCACGCCTTCGCCGTCATCCCGAACCCCAAGGCCGTGTCGTTCCTGCAGACCGACTCTTCCGTCGCCCTGCTCGCGCCCGGCTCCCCGGCGCCGTCGGGCTACTCGTCGGCCGACGAGGGCGACGGCGGCGGCGGTGGTGCGGCCGACCTGGCCTCCATCAAGGCGGTGGCCCAAGCCAAGGCGGCGGCGCGCAAGCACCACCAGCAGCAGCTCGCGGCGCTCTCGGGGCCGGGGCTCTCCAACGCGGGCCGGACGGGCTTCTCGGTCGTCATCTCGGACGCGGGCGACTGGACGCGCAAGGTGATCGCGTCGCCGCCGCGGCGCATCTGGACGCGCGGGGTGCCGCAGTACGGCGTCATGCGCGTGGCGGGCATGTTCGAGCCCGTCATCATCATGGCCACGGGGTCCGGCATCGCGCCCTGTCTGGCCCTGTTCGCCGAGATGCCCGACCACCCCGTCCGCGTCATCTGGTCGGCGCCCTCGCCTCTCGAGACCTTCGGCAAGGGCGTCGTCGACACTGTGCTGCGCGCCGACCCGGACGCCGTCATCCACGACACGCGCAGGCAGGGCCGCCCGGACCTCGTCGCCATAGCCTACCGCATGTACGAGGCCAGCGGGAGGGCCGACGCCGCCGGGCTGGGGCTGGGCGACGGGAGGAGGAGGAGGGACGGGCGGCCGCTGGGGAAGTGTGAGGCTGTCGTCATCATCTCGAACCAGCGCGTCACGCGCAAGGTTGTCTATGGGCTTGAGACGCGGGGCGTTCCTGCCTACGGTGCTATTTTTGACTCTTGATTTTCTGTTGTTTCTTTTGCTTCAGTAGACTGCTGTTTCTTTTGGATCAGTAGACCCGGCTCTCAAGCTCTGATTTGTTTGGAAAATGCATTCCATCTCCATGACAGAGCCTACCCAGTTTATTCCAGCCCGTCGAGTCATGAAAAGTCTCTAGAACCCATGCTCTCTGGTTGCAGACTGGTTCTTGCTGCATTGCATCGACGTTTGAGATTGGCAGAGGCAACAGCGACCAATTGACTTTAGCGTGTGCCTTTGGCGTGCGGCACCGACGCTGAAACGCACGCTAAGGTGCCTTAGCCGAGTGGGGCGGGGTCCACAAAATGCAAGAGTGACCAGGCTTGAAGATGGAGAGGTGGGCCTGCGCCTGCCGGCCAATGTAAACAAACGCGACCATAACAACCGCGAGTGCGACAATTGAGAGTGAGATTCACACTCGAACCGTCGCCGCTTGCCCGCACCTGCTCTCTTCTGCGCGACTTTACATGCACCACCAGCCGCGGTTCGAGTCGCAACCTCGCCTACGAGCAACCGAAACCTTTGAATCCAAATTCCTCGAGGACTGCCCGTCTCATCATCCCCAGCTCGTCTGTCTTGTGGCGCCGATCCGAACCTTGGCCACAGCAGCGCCCTCCAACGACCCCTCGCGAGAGCTCCATCCCTCCAAGTCACCACATCAGACGCGTTCATCACCAGTCTGCCTCCAGACAGGCAGCCTGCCGTCGCCATGGACGATCGGTATATCGTCTACGAGAACCGTCTCTCGTCTTTTCTAGGCCCACAAGCCGTATCGAAGCAAAGACGCGCCTCCAATACCAGCTCGAGAGCCCCCAAGACGCTGTCATGGCCACACAAGTTTCTGCCGCCGTTTGAGGTTGGTGCCACGCGCCGTTTCCCAACAGCCCTCATCCTGTGCTGCTTTGCTGACTGCTCCTGTTTGTCCCGCGCGCGCAGCTCGCCAAGGCCGGTTTCTTCTTCGACCCCCATCCGGGCAACCCAGACAATGTAGTCTGTTTTCTCTGCAACAAGAACATGGACGGCTGGGAGGCCGACGACAGCCCCATCGAGGAGCACCTAAAGCACTCCCCCAACTGCGGCTGGGCCGTCACTGCCGCCGTCGAGGCCGAGTGCCAGGGCATGGAGCAGGTAGACCCCAGGGATCCTCGCATGGTCGAGGCGCGCAAGGCCACCTTCGCCGGGAAGTGGCCCTACGAGAGTAAGAAGGGCTGGAAGTGCAAGACAAAGCAGGTACGTTGGGCTAGCTGCGGACCGCACTCTCCCACCTGTGCCACGCCCAAGCTCGGCGCATGCTAACCAGGCCAAACGCTCTTTCCAGCTGGCCGAAGCCGGGTGGATATACACACCAACAAACGAGTCAGACGACAACACCACCTGCGCATACTGCCAACTCTCTCTGGATGGCTGGGAGGCCGGAGACAAGCCTATGTGAGTTCGGTTCGTTCGCGCACGTCGTGCCACGGACCCCCCAGCTGACCATTACGACAGGGACGAGCACTTTAAGAGAGCGTCGGGCTGCCCATTCTTCGAACTCATCAACAAGAACCCAGCACCTCCGAAGAAAGTACCAAAGTCCAGACTCCCGCGGGGCTCCAAGATTTCTCGTGTATCAACACAGTCGGCTGTCACGGCCGCCTCTGACGTCACCTCTGTCGCCGATATCACAGCCGACCACGAAGATAGCGTCATGACGATGGCATCGGTCACCACAACAGCCAGCAAGAAGACGACGAGGACCAGGAAAGCCCCTGCGTCAAAGGCCAGGAGGACCAAGGCGAAGAAGGACGAGCCTGTCGAGATCCATGAGGATGTTGACGCCCAAGATGTGGACATGCCGCCGCCGCCTCCGCCAAAGCCTGCGCGAGGGCGGAAGAGGGCAAGCGATGCTGTCGAGGATTCGGTGCTCACAAATGCTGAAGCGCCCGCGCCGAAGAAGCGCGCGACGAGGACCCGTGGAAGCCAGAACCCCAACGCGTCGGTTGTGAGCATCACGTCACAAGCCGACGTCGAGATGCAAGACGCCGATGCACGTCCAAAGGCAACAGCTACAAAGAAGCGGGCCGCAACAACCGCCAAGACAAAGTCTCGCAAAGCCTCTGCCACCTCTGCCATGTCCACCTCTGCCATGTCCACCTCTGTCATGTCCATCTCTGTCATGTCCACCACGTCTACAGCTTCTCTCCACGCTGGCGACGTCGACGACAAGCTCGAGCGCCAACTACAGGCCGACTTGGACCGCCCATTAACAGATGAGGAGGACCTTGCCGGCCCCTCGGGACTGGGTAGCAAGAACGATCCCGTAGAAGCACCCAAGCCCAAGGGAAAGAAGGCTGTGGCCAAGAAGGTACCTGTGCGAGAGTCTCGAGACGAAGCCAACGCCGACTACGCCATGTTCGATCCGGCTCCTGCAGAGCCCAACGACACATCAGTGGACGCAGAATTTGAGGCTCTCGAGGCCGAGGTTTCGGCTGCACCACAGCCGCAAGAGCTCGCCGTTCCCAAGAAGGGTCGGAAGCCTGCTGTGCGCAAGGTATCGAAACAGGTCAAGAAGGCCAAAGAGCCTGAACCCGAGCCTGAGATGGTGATGGAGCCCAAAGTCGAGCAGTCCGAGCCTGCCAGGAAGCCTAGCCTCGCAGCGGACCAGCTTGAGGATGATCCCGATGTCGAGGTGTTCCATGACGCCTCCGAGGTGCACGAATCGAGCACTGCTACTGTTGTTCAGCAAGAAGCGCCTCCAGCAAAAAGGGGCCGGGGCCGGCCGAAAAAGTCAACCGCATCCCGAGCCTCTACATCCAGCCAGCAGTCACGATTGTCAACGGCACCTGTGCCCGAATCGAAGAGGTCATCCCTGGCTACGGCCGAGCCAACCCGCGCCCAAGAGCCGGAAACAACCAAGGGCTCCGCCGCTGCGGTCGCAAGCAAGCCCCGCGCCGCCAAGGCACCTGTCGCTGTGTCGCCCCCTCCCGCGCAGAAGCCCATGCCGATTCCACCATCGGCATCCCGCCAGCTCCCGCCCCCACCCGCCACCCCGTCGGCAAAGCAAGCCGCTTTATCCCCGTCCCAATCGCCACAGTCTTCGGATGCTGAGAATCAGCCTCCCTCGTCGAGAGCAGCGGCCGGCACTGTTATGAAGAAGGTGGTATTGGCACCCAGCAGCACCCAACAACATCACGTCTACGATGTCGCTTCCACCCCGGTGCGCGCCGGCACGGCCTCGCCTTCCAAGCGTTTCCAGGGCAACCCCAGGACCATCGGCGGGCTTCAGAGCACTACTCCCTGGACCGAGGTGGATCTCGACCTTGTGTTTGCGGAGCACGGGCTTGATGGCGACGAGCGGGATGCCAACAAGGAGAACGGCCTCGACTCGGCAGCCGCCCGTTTTGTAACCAAGGGTAGTGACCTGACATCACCCGAGAAGCGCATGACGGTTGAGGAGTGGATCTACTACAACGCCGGCCAGGCCGAGAAGAGGCTCAGGCAAGAGTGCGAGGCCCTGGTGAGCTCGTTCGAAAGGGAGGGCTCAAGGGCTATGCGCGTCCTGGAGGAGATTGTTGTGGAGCCCTGAACTGTGAGGGACAGCCCATGGTTGTTTAATATCCCTTGTTTCTTGTTTTTGCTATTTTGTCACTGTTTTTTGTTCTTTTCACGTCATGACGTTCAGCATGGAAGCGTCTGTTCAACTGCGCGAGCTACATCGAAGCGGATACGACGTATGTATTGGAAAACCCTAGGCTACAGGTGGGAGGGTTTGAGAGGCGTTTTTTTTCTGGGTTCGCATGTCAGCCTTGGTTGCGGCATAATCTGTTTGGGTGGGTGGGATACGGTGTGCATACAAGATCCCTGCGATCTGTCTCTTTTGCTCTTTGGCCGCCAGTTGCACCCTTCTTGTGGTCAAGGCTAGAGGCCGTCCTTGTTTGGGTTGGTACAGCCTGGGTTTCTGTCTGTTTGAATCACTCTGGGTAATAAAGGTCATGGACCGACTTCCAGTTTAAGTCTCCATTGGAAATTTGACTCCAACCGTTCCTTAATTCTACTTGGTCGCGGCCCCTTCCGTCCATTCCTCCCTTGGTGATGTTTACCCGCTCTATCTTGCAAGCTGGGTTGCCGCGTCTGTGCGTCCGATTGGAGGATATAGTCCGACACGAGCCAAACGCCTGGCATGACCAAGGCCGAACAACGCATTCCCGAGATGCAAAGGTTTCTTCTCCTTCCCTCTTTCCCATCGGCGATATGGTGGTCGACAGTCACCGGAACTGCAGTATTATTCAACATGAAATACTCAAACAATTATTCGTCATTTTACTACGTTATTGTCGTAATACAGCTGTCCCTAGGCCGAGGAGGAATGTTGTGCGCTCTGACCGGGAAGCCAGCACCGCAGCTGGACCCAGGAGCCACATCCTTGGCGCCGTGGCTAGTCACAATAGGTGTGATCCCTCCGGTGGACGTGCTCCCGTATAGCCTCCCTGTGTTGCCCTCCAGTCCGGGGCGCCCCTGTGGTCTGTTTCACAGCGTCACTCTACAGGGCGAGCGCGAGCAAGCGCAACGTCTAGTTGCAAGTGATGATAGCAACTGACACAAAAGGCTGCCCCCTCATAGCAAGGCAGACGATAGCATAAGCACCCAGGCAGTCCCGGGGTGGTACGTATAAGGACGGGGAGCAGCCGTGTCGCGCTACGCAACAAGAAGCCCAAGGGCCTGGGACTCTGGTCTGCCCGGCCTCGGCCGAACTACAGGGCTCAGAAAATAAGAAAATTAGATCCTTCCCGCCCAGATGGTTGGGCTCAACATCCCACTCTCGATCAATCTCCAACAAATGGCAAATAACAAAGGCTGACCCTACAGAGCCATGGACCGCCAGATCTGCGTCATCTTGTCGGCCGCCGAGATTACTAGACTTGCCTACCTCCAAAGGAAGCCAAACACGGATCAAAACGGCGTATGATTCTTTGTCCAAAACTCGCAGGCTGGAGGGGATGTAGATGAAATGTAGAGGAGCATTGGAGATGGCATCGTTTGGTGTAATATTTCGCACCAGCTCAACATGTCATATTGCACCGTCCGAGGTCCCAGTGACGCGCAACCAGTTGGACAAGCCCGTGAAAAGAAGAGGTATAGATGTCGTTCTGGCACTTGTACAGTGAAATGAGCCACACAACGTAATTGAAGGGGCTGTTGCCAAACGAAGATTATCGGCCGAAGAGACAGTGGGTTTCTCCTGGTGACATATACTGGGCAGGCAGCTATGGGCGAGCTTTTAGACAGCTCCGGGAAGTCGCCATGAATACGGCAGAGATGCTCCAAAGGTGTGTTGTTGGGGTCTGTCGGGTTTGAAAAGGCCCGAGCAGCCAGTTGAGGGACAGCGCTGATGCTAGCCAAGGTATACACTCGGCCGTCCGAAAGGCATGCAAGTCCTGGACCACGGCCGGGCCTCCTTTTGGAGATGCGGGCCGCGAGCTCCAATCCAGGCTGCCGAGGCAACTGAAACGATGTGCTCGCAGAAGATGCCAGACGGCGACGGCCCGCGCAGGCGTACGCGCTCCAGACGGTTCCGAACGAACTAGCCTTTATATTGCCGCAATCAGGTGTACATGTGGCAAGAAACCACCAAGGCGTCGCTGCCGCCTGCTCGGCAATAACGGTGCCAAAGGAGGTGAGTATAGTTTGCATGGGCAGCTTCTCTTGTCCCCGGGGCGCCCATTTCCGGATTAGGAAATCCGGGCAGGGCGGCTGCCAATCAGATGGTTGCCGTCGTGGACGCAAATGTGCGATAACTCCGAATCTCCACCAACCTGCATCAAAACCCGGACATAGCAGACAGAGTCGGACAAGCTAAAGAAGGTGGATATTGGTGTGGCGTGGAGCGATAAAAACCACCTATATAAATACTAGAGGAAAGAGGTTACGAGAATATCTAAATATGGTATGCTTCAAGAATCACACACATCTTCTTCCTCAAGCTTTCCCATTGCATACAAGCCAGATATTACCATGGACAGCAAGGCCAACACCACCCCCTATGATCTCCCCGACAACGCAGTCTGGTTTAGTAAGCGACCATCCCTTAGAAGCAGAAAGAAATACGGTACTGACTCTCCACCGCCAGTCACCGGCTGCTCGTCCGGGATAGGCCGGTCGCTGGCCGAGCTCGTTCTCGCCCACCCCACGCACAGGCTGGTCGCGACGGCGCGCAGCCCGGCCGCCCTGTCGGACCTGGCGGGGGCCGCCGAAAACGCCGACCGGCTGCTCAAGGTGGCGCTAGACGTGACGTCGCAGGCGGCCATCGACGCGGCCGTGGCGGCGGCGCTGGCGCGGTTCGGGCGCGTCGACGTGCTCGTCAACAACGCGGGCTACGGCATCATGGGCGACGCCGAGGCCATGGCGCGCGAAGAGGAGCGGCGGCAGGTCGAGACCAACTTCTGGGGCCCCGCGGCGCTGTGCAAGCACGCCGTGCGCGTCATGCGAGACGAGAACCCAAAGGCCGCCGCCGGGGGCAAGGCCGGCGGCGTCGTGCTCAACGTCACCAGCATCGGCGGGTTCGTGGGCTTCCCCATGCACAGCCTGTACCACGCCGCCAAGTTCGCGCTCGAGGGGTACACCGAGGGCATGGCCAAGGAGATGCTGCCCGACTGGAACAGTGAGTAGTAGGATGCCGCGTCGCAGATCCCGACGTTCCGTATCATTCTAACCGCGTCCCGCAACGAATAAAAAAATCAAAAAAATCACAGTCCACTTCTGCATCATCGAGCCCGGCGGCGTCAACACCGGGTTCGCGGCCAGCGTCAACCGCGGGGGCCGGCACCCGGCCTACGAAAGGCCGGACGGGCCGGGCCGCACGCTCGAGACCATGGTGGCGGACCCGAGGGCGCGCGAGATGTGGGCCAGGCCCGAGGCGGTGGCGCGGGCCATGTTCAAGGTCGTCGCCGACGCCGGCAGCGGCGCCCGCGGGCGCATCCCCATCAGGCTGCCGCTCGGCGTGGACGCCTACGCCATCATCAAGAGGGCGGTCGCGGACGTTGAACGGGACCTGGAGGAGTTCAAGGAGCTGTCCATCAGCACGCAGAAGGCGGCGGGCGACGACATGGAGGCTCTGGCTTGAGATGCATGATGCATGATGGGGCGGTAATTGGCCGTCTCCTGATTGGCCAGAAACCCAATTCAGCGGCACCCCCTCCTCGCCCTGCAGGGTTATGCTGCCTCTCCACCTGCCTCAACTGGAACTGGCGGCAGCCCAAAGTGCATGGGTCTGAGTGCGTTGCAGTCTGACTTCGTATCAGGGGCAAGCGAGGGGTCTAAAACTGGATACGGGCGCGGGTGGGCCCGGCCCGCCGCCACAGGAAAAAGGGGAGGACGATAGAAGCACATGAGATGGGTATGTTAAAAGGCGTGTCGCCGGGTAGTGTTGTGATGTAGAGGCACTCTCCAACCACTGCCCTTCACCCTCGCTATTCGAGAGCTTCTCTGCCACTCGCTATCAGAGAGCTACTCCCACACTCGCTATCAGAGAGCTACTCCCACACTCGCTACAGCCCGCGTCAACCCTCGGACAGATAGACACCATGGCACGAGAGTCGCCCAGAGTATCCAAGCTGGCCCTCCTGGCCCTGGCCGGAGTCGTTGGTCAGGTCCAAGGCGCCTATGTCTGGCCCTCGCGCCACGACGTGCTCGAGGACATGCTCGCCATGCAGAGTGGCATCCGGCACGCAGGCTTCACTGATGGTGAGTGTCGCCGCTCCCCGCTCATGACAGGTCCCCGACTCCCAGCGCTAACCCCCGTCCCTTCCAAGTCATCGTGCCTTGCGGCGCCAGCGGCAACCAGGTCGGGATCCAGAAGTCGGCCGAGTGGGTGCGGACGGCGTTCCATGACATGGCCACGCACGACGCGGCGGCCGGCACGGGCGGCCTCGACGCCTCCATCATGTACGAGGTGTCGCGGTCCGAGAACGAGGGCGACGCCTTCGACCACACCCTCGGCGACCTGGCCGAGTTTGTGACCCCCGAGACGTCGGCCTCGGACCTCATCGCCCTGGGCCTCGTCGCCTCCATGGCCTCGTGCGGCGGGCTCAAGATCCCCTACCGCACCGGCCGCGTAGACGCCGTCGTCGCCGGCCCGCTCGGCGTGCCCCTGCACACGGACCCGCTCGACAAGATGGTGGCGGCCTTTGACCGCATGGGCTTCACGCGCGCCGAGATGATCGGCCTCGTCGCCTGCGGCCACTCCATCGGCCAGGTGCACAGCGTCGACTTCCCGGACCTGGTCAAGGGCAGCCCCGGCCCGGCCAACGTGGCCTCCTTCGACCGCACCCCGAACGCCTTCGACACGTCCGTCGTGGACGAGTACCTGAGCGGCGACGGCGTCAACCCGCTCGTCTTTGGCGCCAACGAGACCACCAACTCGGACGCGCGCATCTTTGGCGCCGACGGCAACGCCACCATGCGCGCCCTCGCCGACCCGCCCACCTTCAGCTCCACGTGCACCTCCCTGCTCGGCCGCATGATCGACAAGGTGCCCAGCGGCGTGAGCCTGACCGAGCCCCTCGAGCTGCAGGACATCAAGCCCTACGTCGACAAGCTGCAGCCGGATGCCGGCGCGTCGACCCTCCTCTTCCAGGGCAGCGTGCGCGTCCGCACCACCGGCCGCGACGCCGAGGCCCTGACCGTCGCGCTCGACGTGGCCGACCGCGCCGGCGGGCGCTCCGTCGTGCCCACGACGCGCTCCCGCTTCCGCGGCGGCCAGTCGTACGGCTTCTTCAACGAGCAGTTCACCTGGTTCGACTTCTCGGCCCAGCTTCCCGCCGACGCCGCCATCGCGTCCTTCAACATCAAGGTGACGGACGCCACCGACGGCGGCAGCACCAAGACGTACGACAACAACGGCCACCCGGGCGGCTACCCGGTCCAGAGCGACCTGCTCTTCCTGGACGGCGACTCGTGCCTCAACACGAACATCGTCGACGGCAACATGACGATGCGCGTGACGGCGGCTGTGCGCACCGGCGGCGAGGGCGAGAAGAGGAGCACGCCCACGCCCGTCGTCAACATGGCGCACCGCGTCCAGCAGCCCGGCGTGACGCTGCCCCGGCTCGTGATGGAAAAGGTGCGCATGCGGCCGCTCAACGCCACCCGCGGCCCCTACCAGCTATACGAGACCGACATCTCGCTCGAGGCCAAGGGCTGGATCACGAGCTTCACCCTCGCGCTGCCGAGGGCCGCCGGCGACGTCGTGTCGGCTCTCGTCAAGACGAACGGACTGTCAACCAACTGCTAGTTTGATGGCCCCATTTCTGGAAACGACTGACGTTAACGTCGCCTAGTCTTGTGTAATGTCATGAAAATGTGGGCGTAATCTTTGCCGAACTCCGTTTTCCCCTTGACGCCGCCTGGATTTGAGATGAGCTCGTTGGTGCTAGATAGAGTGTACATAGAATCCCACGATTTTTTACAATGACCTCGCAAGATCCTGGACTTTGTCCTGTTTTTGTTGTTTACCAGCGGGTGCTTCCGCTCTGACCCCTAGCCCTTGGTCTAGGCCTGTTTGTTGACCACTTGACCCTTTTGACCCAAACGCTCTGTAACTCCTTACCGAAGGTCCTAGATTCATGCCTCACAGACGACCTTGACCGCCGCTTGTTTGCTGTTTCACGCCGGAGCCTCTCAACAAACAGCGGGGAGGCAATCATCAATGCATCCCTTTTCCCAACCCCCAGTCGTGTCCCATCGGGGCAAAACACACCAGCCAGGGGAGGGGGGGTCCCGTCCCGCCAACATATGCTTCCCTGTAAGCATTCAACCCAGTCGTACTCCGTCGTCACAATCCAGACCAGTTCCCCCTGCAAAATGCCACGCTCAAACATGCCAACTCGAGTCAGGGTGACGGGCGTTTCATCCGGCAGTGAAATGCTTGACGGGGCGTGTGGTTGACGATCCAAACAGCCCCAGCCGTTGGATGTAGGGGCGGCTGCCAAGCCATAACCCCCAGTACCGTCGCAGGCGCGGCAGACCCGATCGAAACGACATTCCACAAATCAAGATCCCGTCTACATATCGCCACGCCGGACGAGGTGCCTTTCATAGAGCATCTGTCGCGCGGGACACCCTGGAGATCAGGGGTTGCTCTGCCGTGACGAAGGCCTCGACGTCGCTCACAGAACTGGCATTCAAAACTCCACCACCGCCACCATCATCATCATCAATCTCTTGGGCACATTCCTCGTCTTCATTTCTCTCTTGGTCCGGCTGTGCCGAAACTTTTTGCAAATACCCCGAAGCTGGTCTCGGCTTATTCCATCTTGAACGACACCGCCCATCGCACAATATATTCAACCAACACACACACACACACACACACACACACACACACACACACACACACACACACACACACACACACACACACACACGTCTCGCCCGCCATGAGGTTCTCCGCCACCTTCTTCCTCGGCCTCGTCGCCTACGCGGCCGCCCTGCCCACAGTCACCCTGACCGGCGACGTCATCGAGGCCCGCGCGCCCCAGCTCAGCGTGCCGCCGGGAACCCCGGTGACCGACACCCAGGGCGTCAAGCTCCGCCCGGGCACGAGATGCACCACAACCTCGACCGAGGGCGTCCTCGCCTGCAACGACGGCACAGGCGCCGTCTTCAACATCGTCAAAGGAAGGATAAGGGGACGCGACCTCGTACCACCCGAGGAGGACTCGGGCGACGCGGCCGCGCAGGAGGCTGCCGATGATCGGGAGGAGGAGGACGATTAGTAGGACGCTCAACAGGGATTGAGTAGCTAGCCGTCATCTATTCGTCAAAAGGGGCGGAGAAAAGGGCGTGGGGAGGCCACAACGGGCACAGGGCCATCTCACCCGGCTCTCGGAGCTCATGCATAACCAGGCATACCAAGGCGGATAGAAGGCGAGGGGTGCAGAGCCAGAGAGGCGTCTCGATAATACATTGATGACACAACTTGCCGACGCCCCCTTGCAAAGTGCTTCAATAAAACCCGACAAAAGCAGGTAGCTAACTGTCCCGGCACGGTATTCATGGCAGTGGCCAAGGCAGCGGCTTGGGCACCGGGCGCCATGGTAGAGGCTCTGGCAGCGACTTGAGCGGTGCCAGCAGCAGCTCTGGCAGCTAGAAGTGGGCACAAGTAGCAACCAAGGCCGCACGTCCAGGAGATGGGCGCGCTTTATGGAACGGATGGATTGACTGGGTAAAACTCGGAGGACCTCGGTTTTCGGAGGACGCGGGGGGCTCACTGATAGCATAAATAGCACTAGCATGATAGGTATGAAGTGGAACAAGTGCCGTGGGTCAGGGGGCATTGCGCAGCGTAAATATATCGGTACGTCACCGCTCTTCAAGATACTGATGGTATTCTAGCCACCTCGTGGTATGCTCTGCTCACATGCATAAGTTCCGAGAGCCAAGTGGTTTCGAATCCCCAGCACAGTCGTTACCGACTACTTCTTACCGCCGGAGCCGCCGCTGCTGCTGCCGGACTTCGAGGACGACGACTGGCCGCTGGGCGCCGTGTAGGTCGAGCCGCCGTTGCCATTGTTGTAGTACGTGCTGCCGTTGGGGTTGGCGTAGTAGTAAGAACCGTTGCTGAGGGTGGGCCTCGTCAGCAACATGGCAGGCACGCATGCTTGGCTGGTGGATGCGCTCATAAACTTACGAGTTGGAGTAGTGGTACGAGTTGGAGCCGTCGCCATAGTCGCGCGAGCAGTAGTGGTTACCCTACCGCGCCGGGTCAGCATTGACGCAACTCATATTCCTTGCCCTCCACGTGCCCACGTGCGGGGGACAGCTGTCGCGCTTACCTGGCTGTTGGTGCCGTGGCCATTGTACGAGTATCCCTTGTCCGACATGGCGAGAGGTGTAGCTGCAAGCAAGCAGTCCGAGTTTGCTGTGGGAATCGTGTCTGGGGTTGAACAAAAGAGCTTCAGGAAGTAGAAGCTGGTATCGAGAATGGATGCAGCGAGCCTGATGCGGGGAAACAGCCGGGTATTTAAGCACCCCCGCGCGGTATCTCTTTCAGTGACGTTGAACCTTATCTCGGTAGGCTCAGACGCTTTCACATCCGAAAATGGCAAGCACGGGGACCAGGCCTACAGAGCGACCCCACCATGGCCAGACCTTCCGCATGGTATGGTGCCAGAATATGGTGTTTGTACCTACACAACCAAATACTACAAGACTAGGCCATTTACACACCCCGCGCACACCCCGCTGGTCGTTTAGCTATCGAACCAACCCACTACCGAAGTACGAGATAGTGGACAGGGAGCGATGTAAACAAGCGGGGAGAGTCTCCGACGCCCACAAGAAATGCTGGGTGTGATATCAGGAGCCAGGTATCCGGGCCCAAGCCTCCAGCCCCGCTCCCACGCTACAACGAAGCTGCATTGGAGCAAATGAGCGGCTTTCAGTAATCGTCGTCGTCGTCGTAGCCATCGTCGTCGTAGTCATCGTTGTCGTAGCCATCGTTATCGCCGTCCCCATCATCCGAGCCCCCATCATCCGAGTCCCCATCATCCGAGTCCCCATCATCCGAGTGAGTCGAGTGGGAGTCGCCATCGCCGACCAGCCGACCACAAGTGGTTACGGAATCGGAATCGCTGTTCGAATTGGAATCGCTGTCCGAATCGTAAGGATAACCATTACTATAACCATTGCTTAAGGTGCTGCCTCCGGCATTGGCACCGCCTGTGCCGTAAACGCTGCCGCCACCATAGGTGCTGCCCCCATACGAGCTGGCACGGCTGGAAGGGATGGCCGTATGGCTGGTACCAGCGTCGCTGGGTGCTCTACTGCCGCCGTACCTGCTGTCCCTATAGTTGCTACCGCGGTACGCGCTGTCGCCGTAGTTGCTGCCACCGTAGTTGCTGCCACCGTAGTTGCTGCCACCGTACGTGCTGCCGCCGTACGTGCTGCCACCGTACGTGCTGCCGCCGTACGTGCTGCCGCCGTACGTGCTGCCGCCGTAGTTGCTGCCGCCGTAGTTGCTGCCGTCACGCGTTCCACGGCTGTAAATGCCACCAGTGCCGGACGTATGACTACAGGCGTCGTCACGGCTGTAGGTGCTGCCGCGGTCGCTGTCGCGTCGGCCACCGCGGTTCACGTCATGCCGACCTCCAGCCGGGTCCGTGTAGACGGCCCTCCCGCGGCCATTGTCATAGTACCTGCTGTTGTCGGGGTTCCTGTAGTACCACGATCCGTCCCTGGAAAGCGACAGCGGGCCGCGCGCGCCCCCCCATGGGGTTAGTCGTCCGGCGGGAAAGAATCAAGTCACTCCACGGTTGGGACGCCGGCCAGATCGGCTTACCTGTTGTCGTAGCGGTACGTGTTCGGGTTGGGGGCGTCACGGCCGTAGTCGCGCGACTCCCAGAGGTTGCCCTGTGGACCCGGATCTGGGTGAGCACAAAGTGAGGAGATTGCTGCGAGGTGGGGAGTCCGGTCGTGGTTACTCACCCGACTGTTGATGCCGGTGCCTTGGACAGTATACCATTGGTGCCACCAATCTGACATGACGATTGCTAGTGCCGCTTATGTCGGTCTTGGGTGCTGCCTCTTGGTCCTCTGGTGCTGGAATGGTAAAGAAGTGGGGGAGCAAAGAAAGTGCCGGATAGGGATACTGCCTCGCTATTAAACAGGCACAGCGGAGTCCCCACCGTTTCAAGCTGCACTTGTCCAGTCGCGATAGGGAGCCTAGTTATCACGCGACCAAACCCCCACGCAATTTCCCTGATACCCCCCTCAAGGCAGGCAAGAATGGATGGATGAAATACCTACCCAGGTAGGTACGTACCTAGGCTCCTGCTCATTAGACTAGACGATCAGTAGCACGGACACAGGTTTTCTAGCCCACTTCAGAACCATCCCAATTTTGGGTCCGGCTAATCAAGGCACATCGGATAGGGAGGTCCGACTTGGAAGCCAGTAGAGACATCTAGGATTGGACCCCAAAAGACAGGTTCATATCGTGCAGTCCGAGACCAAAGCTCCACGAGAGCTGTGAATTCGATGAGCGTTGGGGTGCTGAAACCCACGAGTGCCGCAGGAGCACGGGCGTGGGTCCAGATGCAGGCTGAAAGAAATACAAAATCCGTGGAAGCAAAACAGAAGGCCGGAATCCGCAGCCGACAAGGAGGCGGGGTGCCAAAAGAATCATAATTATAAGTTCAATCCCAAACTCCACTGATATGCAGTTGCCGCTTGTCTATTCTATGTCCAAAGCGAAAACAAGAAGTAGTATGAACGCCTGATGGGTAGAAGATGAAGGAAATGAAACCAAAAGAGGATGATCATGGTGCTTTGGGCTTGTCATCGCTGCTGTTCGTCTTTTCGTTGGCTTTGGGAATAAACGCCTCAGCACTCGACCCCCCTTCTATCTTGCGACCGCCGGCGTCGTCATCCGGGTTGGCATCTCCGGAATGCTCGGGAGGGCCTTGCTTCTTGCCCTCCCGATACTTGTCCATCTTCTCGCCGAGGTACCGCATAGAGCGGGACACCCCGGACATGGCAACACCCTTGATAGCCTGGACGGTGCTCGGCCAGGAAGTCGTTTTTTCGATTGCCTCGCGCAGAATTTCCCGCCGCACGGCCGCGTTCCCCTTGGCGATCCGCTGGTCGAATTCACCGCCCGTCCTGGCGCCAAAGGAGATGCCACCCTCTTCGGTCTGCAGGTTCTCCGTCATATGATCAAAGTCGGCGCGCGAGATCTGCCACTTCTTTTGGTACTCAAAGTACACCCGCGACCGGAACTGCCGCGGCAGCCGTCGCACCATGTTGCCCCTCGTCGCGTCCGACATGGTTTGGCGGAGAACCAGATCATGCTCGGGCGGCGCGGAGCTGGGGTCCTCGACCTCGGCAAAGTCGACGTTGGGAAGCACCTGCACAAGCGGCGCGTAGAGATTCCGGAAATGGATGGCATTGTGGCCCACAATGTTGGCCACCTTTCGCGGGTTCTCCGTCGGGAAACGCATGCGCGGGTCGCCCAGGTAGCTGAGCCCAGCGATGGTCGAATAGAGCTCGCGCTCCGTGAACTCCTCTGGCAGCATCAGAAGGGCGGTACGGATGGCGGCAAGCAGGTTCGTCTGGTTGGCGATGCGGACGCGCGCGTTGTCTCGAATAATCTTGACCGGCTTGTGCAGCCTCCCAGCAAGATACAGCGTGTCCCACTCGAGCAAATCACGGCAGAGGGTGTCGATATTCACAACGCCGTACTTGACGAGGACGCCCTCGACTTGAACGTAGGGGTTAAAATAGACGCCCGCCCCGTACCGATCCTGGACCCTGCTCACGAGGCCGGAGCCAAGGCTGGCAAGGCCGCTGTAGTGGTGGCGGTTCTGCCGTATGTTGAGCGAGTGCCAGTGCTGCGTATGGGACACTCCGAAGATGAAGTCGATCATCTTGGGCTTCTCCCCCTGTGCGCGCACGATGGCCGGGTCGGGGTCGGGGTGCACCGAGTGAACGAGCTCGTCGCTTGGGGTGCGGCCGAGCAGTTTTGACTGGGGGAAGACCCCTGATCCGTAGGCAAACGCGTAGATGATGGGCGCCTGGAAAGACTTCACAATATCTCCCAGAGCCTTTTTGAACTCGGCGTTGATGATCATATGCTGGTTGTACCCCAGGTGCCGGTACGGCAGATCGCTGAACTTGTCCACATGTTGGTAGTCGACCTTATCTTCCCAGTCTAGTGTCTGTTCGTTTACGAGTGAACGCGTGCTTTGTGACGAGGCATCAGAGGCGCTGGCTTGGCTGTCGGTCTGCTTATTGTCGCTGGTTGAAGTAGAGGCGAGTCGAGATGCGGACGCGGGAAGTGGGCGCCAGCCATCGAGAAGAGGATTACGACAGAGGCATGAGAGGCTTGAAGGGACGGCAGCGGATCCTCGCGACGTTGTATTTGCGCGTGGGAGGGAGGCGGCGCCCTGGTGATGCGATCGACGGGTCAGGTTTGCTGTCTATGACGTCGCGATGTTGCATGAGGGCAAGGGCAAGCTTACCCTCCGGCGCAAGACTGAGAACATCTCGAGGCCTGGTTACACCGCCCTGGGGTGCGCGCAGAAAGGAGATTATTTGAGAAGACCAGTGCGGCAGCTAGGGGGCGTATTCGGGGTCAGCTTTGGCGTTGTCGAGTTGTCTGGCGTCGAAGCTGTTCGTCGCAAGGATGAAAGTTTGGGAGGAAAGAGCCCAAGGTCAATTGCGAGCTCGGCTGAAGCAAGCCCGGGTGCTTGGCAGGATCGAGCTGGGCTAGCGGCGCAATGTGCTAGTGGAGCTGGTGACGCGAGGCGCCAGGGGTCTGGGCTGTACCCCTGATAAGCCCTGAACCCCAACGACAACTCCATACGGGTACCTACCTGAGTACCAACCTGCCTCTCCACCTGCTAGCTATGGACTGCCGAGTGCTATGGACCAAGCAAATCTTAAGACATAAGAGAAGTGATAGGACTCAAAGGGCCTGGCCAGTGCGGTTCATGTGCATCTACGGGTGTTTGACTTTGCGGGAAGGAACAATGAGCGACACTTGCAGCGGAGAGGGGCTCGCCGCCCAGGCTGCTGGAGTGCATAAAAGCTTGATTTACCGGTCATTATGATCTTCGGGAGTTAGGAACCTGGTAGGTGCCAATTGTAATAACAACCAACCCTCCTCTACTGTTTCTGATTCAAAGCATTGAATGAAATGGGTTGGAAGGTGCCCGCGTATGAGCACCCAAGGGAGGCCTGACGTAATTCGGCAGTCCACCGTTGCATTCCAACGGCAACCGCTTGCAGCACAACCCGGAAGAGGACAAAGGAGGGCTGTGTTGGTTCCGAGGTATACAAGTCATTTATAGTTTATTTATCACATCTAGACAGCACATGTCGTCCTATCCATTTCGACAGCGCTGATCTCTTCTTCTCTCCAAGGTGTGAGTTGCGCCGTTGGGTTGGTTGCAGATAGCCCGTCACGTGCCGACGTACCGGACCCACACCATCCAAGAGGGCTCCGCCGGTTGCCAATTGAAGCATGGCGCGACGGACCAGGACACCACGCGTTGTCTCGTCGTCAACAACCACGATGAGGGCGCACACGCCCCAGAAGCAGCACGACGACGGCTCGCCGGGAACTGCCCAAGGCAACTCGGGCGCAACCCGCTTCAGAGCGAGCACTGGTGTTGCTGGACCTCCGCGACCACAGGCATGGCAGAGCAGGGTAAGTCAGAAGCAGGATCCGCTCTGCGTCTCGGCAGTAAACAATCAAGCATAAATGAGGCCATGACAGGGATCCGCATTGGCTGACTTCTCATTCCCGTTACTTGCGGCCTCACAGTTTGGATCCTCTATGAGAGCCACATCCAGTCAGCAGCCGACCTTCAATCTCTTAACCGGCGAGACATCTGTGCCGAGTGCACCAGGCACTCAGCTACCCCGACGGAGCCTAAGCGGCGGCCGCGGCGGTCACTATCCCACCTCGCAGCGCGTCGCTTCCCGCGAAAGCAGCAAAGAAAACATGGCGCCCCCCGACGCCCAAGAGTACGAGACGCAGCGGCGTCGGATCGAGGAGCTCAAGGCCGAGGTTGGCGCCCTCAACTACCGTGTATCGGCCTACGACCAGGAGAAGGAGATGCTACGGCTGCAGCACGACTCGGAGCTGCGCGACGCCCGCCGCCGTGCGGAGGAGGACTTTAAACTTAAACAGGCCGCCGATGCGGAACGCGACACAGCCCGCAGGTCCGCCGAGGCCCTACAAGAGGAGCTCGATAGCCTAAGGTCCGATGGGGACGACAAGGTTCGGGCGCTCGAGAAGCGCGCGCGCGAGGCGGAGGAGGAGGCCAGTTTGCTGCGCGAGCAGCTACAAGATCTGAGCTCGGCGCGTGATGGGGAGGCACGCATGGCTGAACGCAAGACGATGGAGCTGCGGAAGCAGGCCGAGAATGCACAAAGGATGGCCACGGAGCAGGCCGAAGAGGCCGAGGAGCGCGAGGCGGCGCTGGCCAAGGCCAGGACCCAGCTCGCCGAGCGGGACGCCACCATTGGGCAGCTCGAGGCCGACGTGCTCCGGCTCAAGGCGCATACCGGAGACGCAGAGACCATGGCCGTCATCCGTCGCGAGCTGACGGACCAGGTCCAGCACATCCGCGCCCTCGAGGCCACCAACCGCGACCAGCTGACCGAGCTCAAGCGCTTGCGGCAGGCGCGCAAGGCGGTCGAGGTCGTTGAGGAGGAGAAGCGATCACTGCAGCGTCGGCTCGAGCTCTCGGCCGACTTGGAGACCGAACTCGAAGAGGAAAGGATACAGCGCCAGAGGCTCGAGGACGAGCGGGCCGCCTGGACTGCCTACCTGCAGAACGAGGCCGTATCTTCTGACGGCGAGACCGAGCTTGACTCGCCCGAAGCCGTCGCCCGCGCATTAGTGCAAGAAAGGCTCAACTCGGCATCTCTACTGGAGAAGCTGGGATCCCTGGAACCTGAGCTTGGACAGAGGGAGGAGGCGATTAGGCAACTCGAGGTGGAGAAGGCGGAGCTGAGCGCCGAGCTGGAGAAGGTCAAGTCCATGCCCCGCGCCGAACCAGCGGGTCCGGCGGACAAGGGCCGTCTCCGGTTAGAGCGGCAGCGTGCCCTGGCAGTCAAGGAGGTCGAGTACCTGCGCGCGCAGCTCAAGACCTTTGATGCCGAAGACGTCGCCTTCCAACCCGAGAACTTCGACCAGGCAAAGGCGGAGCGCGTCCAGCAGCTCGAAGACCTCGTCGACAAGTACAAGGCCGAGGTGCAAAGCCTGCACCAGGAGATGTCCTCTCTCGAGTCCTCGGCAACCTCGCCCGCCGTGGCCGCCGCGGCCGGGACCAAGCGCCCACGCGAGAGCGACGAGAACCACGTGTCGTCGGCCGTGCAGTCGGAGCAGCTCGGGCAGCTGGCGCGCAAGAACCGCAAGCTCCAGGAGGAGCTGGCGGCGCTGCAAAAGTCGCACCGGCTCGCCGACAAGGAGCTCCGGGTGGCCAAGGCGCAGGTGTCGACGGCCAAGGAGTCGTCGCGCGTGCGCGTGCTCTCGCTCCGGTCCAACCCGACGTCGGACCACGAGGCCGTCAAGGCGTCGCGGCTGCGGGCGCTCGAGCGCGAGAACGCCGAGCTGCTCGAGCACGTGGCGCGCAAGGGGGCCGCCTCGTCGTTCCGCACCGTCCCGCTCTCGGCCCTGGACGCGGCCCGGCGCGAGGTCGAGGACGCAAAGGCCGAGGCGGCCTCGGCGCACAAGACCAGCAAGCGGCTCAAGGAGGTCTGGGCGGCCAAGAGCGGCGAGTTCAAGGAGGCCATCTTCAGCACCCTCGGCTGGACCGTCACCTTCATACCCAACGGCAAGATGCGCGTCGAGAGCGTCTACCACCCGTCCGAATCGGACGAGCACGAGAACAGCATCGTCTTTGACGGCGAGCGCGGCACCATGAAGGTCGGCGGCGGGCCGCGCAGCGCCTTTGCCCAGAGGATCGACGACCAGATCCGCTTCTGGGTCCGCGAGAAGGGCTGCATCCCCGGCTTCCTGGCCGCCCTGACGCTCGAGTTTTACGAGGAGCACTCCAAGTCGTCGAGGCCGGGCTGAGGCGGGAGGGTTGAAGTTTGATCATCTGCACGTTCTTTTCATGTATTTGCTGCTATAAAATAGCACGAATCATTGGCCAATATTCTGCTAGAATCTTGTTTTTTTTGTCTCTAGTCCAGACAGTTTCTTTATGGAAACATGCTTTTTTGTCGTCAAACCTGCGTTGTTCCTCTGCGCATCGCTACAAACTTGGTACGCGAATAGCAAAACAGGTAGAGGGGACCGGCGCTCTACAGTAATTTTACCACGATGTCAGGCCCGTTGCCATGTCTCTTCGCGGGTCAAGCCCAAAGATGTAATATGCTATATACCGACTAGACATTAAGGAAAGGACGGCAAAGCCAAAAAGGCAAAGACCCTCCCGGTTGAAATGCTACAATGAAGCAAGTCGGTCTCAACCCGTCTTATGTTCGGCACACAGCACATACACGCGCCCACCACCTACATACCTACTTACAAAAGCGCAGAAGAAGAAAAGACAACAAAAGAAAACAAAAAAAAAAAAAGTCATCAAACCGCTCTAGCGCTGCTACTACCCCTCTCGCTTTTCGCATCTCTGCTCCCCGGGTATAGCACAAACCCGACACGAGCAAAAAAGTGTCTGCCAGGGTCATAAAGAAAAAAAAGACATGCGACGTGGCTGAACGACGAGGTCCAGAAGAGAATCAGAGGCAGGAGAAACGACAAGGATGGATGGCAACAAAAGAAAAAGTATAAACGAAGCAATGACGGGGGTTGTAACCAAATACAGACAGGGTATGTCGCAAAATACGTATCATCTCAAAGCTTTCGGGGTTACCAAAAAAGGCCATGCGGCGAGCGGCTCCTTATTGAGCAATCAGACCACCTCGGGCTCCCTCCCTCCCCTTGGAGCACCACCACCACCACCACAAACTCCAACTCCCTCCCCTTGCTCACTTGGCCTCGTACCGCCCGCTGACAATCTTGCTGACTAGCGGCACGGCCTCCCAGCGCCTCTCCTCGACGCGGGGGCTGACGGGGTTGTCATCCGAGAAGGGGTCCGCCTCGACCTCGGCCTCCTCGACGGCCTTGCCCTTGCCCTTGTCCTCGAGCAGCCGCGAGATGGAGACGCGCGCGCTACCGCCCTGCTGGGGCGTGTACTCCCAGCGCGCCTCGATGTGGCCGGGCTGCACCTCTGCGCCCTCGGCGCCGACGATGCGGCAGACGATCTTGGACCACTCGCCGTCGCTGCCGCTCGCGGGCGCCGGGAGGGTCACGTCGCCAAGCCGCCAGTACACCAGGTGCTTGTCCCGCAGGTGGGTGCCGGCGGGCTTCGTCTGGGCAGCCGAAGCCTTACCCTCGTAGGTGACGACAAAAACGAGGTTATGAAGAGTGAGAGGCAGCGGCGCAACGTCCGTCTCCTCTGCCGAGGCGGGAAGCGTAGCCGGGTTCAGGCGGTATTGCAGGAGGAGGCCGAGCTTCTTATTAGCAGTCGGCTTCCATACGGGCTTGAGGATTAGGGGGCACAGAGAGGCGAGAGCAGTATCGTTGTCCGCTTCGCTGTGCAGTCGGTATGTGAAAGCCGTAGAGGTTTTGGCGAGGTGCGAGGTATCGAGCGTGAACTCGTCGGCGTGGCCCGTGTTGGAAACAAAAATGCGGTTGGGCCCGATGACGTCGAGGAGGGGGAAGTTATTTATACGGACGGTTTCAATATCTATTCAGCCAAGCAACATGTTAGCGGGGCATTTAGTATTAAAGGAAGGTGGGGGAGTCTTACGCCGTGAAGCAAAGTCGGAAGAGTTGTTATAAGACACGGCAATCTCTCCATTAATCTTGACAGACTTGATTTCGCCGTCCTCGAAAGAGGCCGATACTGTCTCAATGATGGAGGAGTTGAGGCCCTGCGCCGTCATATCCGGGTGCTTGGTATGGGCGAGACTTCCTAGGGAAGTTGCAGAGCGGACTGACTGCGTGTCAGATGTGGCGGCGATGCTGGCCTCGGTCATCAGAGTGGCCGACGTCGACGGCTTGTTGGGGATGTGGGCAGGAACGGCTGGCGGAGGCGGAATCGTGTTCTCGGTGGGGCTCTGGATAGGCTCGAGCGGCGCCTGCGTCGGCATGGGCATGTATATGGTGTTGCGCACATCTCTCCGCCCGCGGACGGTACCACCCCTACGTGAAGGCATCGAGGCCGAGAGCGTGTTGGTGACGCTGGAGATGGCCGCCTTCTGGGCGTCTGCATCCTCCTCCGCCACAGGCTCGTTCTGGATCTTGAGTGTGAAGAACTGGTCCGGCTCGTCGCTGCTTGCCGCAGCCTCCTTTTGTGCTTGCGAGATAGGATCGTTCATAGCGGCCGGGACGGTGTACCCTTCTGAATCCTTGCTCCCCTGTGCCACGCCCTCATTACCCGCCGTCTGGCCGCTAGGCTGCCCTGGGGCGGCACCGAATATGTCGTCTACCTCGCCATTTGTAAGAGTGGCGGGCTTGTTTTCGGTGGCAGCTGCGCCCTCTTCTGCCGGCTTTTCGGAGGAGCCTGTCGGAGTCACGCCGTTTGCCTTGACCTCGGGCAAAGGTGGGACATCTGGGACAGTCGGGGAATTCGGCGACTCGACAAGCGAGGATAGACGGTTGGTATCGGACAGGTTGTACATCGAGGCACCCGGCGACAGCCTCTGGCCATGGCTACTGCTAAGACCACGGCTGAAGGGCCCCGAGTTCTTTTGCGGTGACAGCTGGCCAAACCCGCCGTGTATACTCTGGCGACGGCGACCAAGCATGGTACCAATACGACTGCGCAGTTTGGACTCTGATGGGCACTCAGTCAGCACAACCGACCATTACACCAGCTTCATTACACTAGCTTCGGGGTCTCCAACACAAACCTGTGTGCACCGTCTCGATTCTATCTCCCGAGTGCTCGCTAGGCGTATTGTCCTCGTGGCCAAAACCGGCGCTGCTCTGGGGCCTAATCATGGAGCCAGCGGCGGAGCTCGACAGCCTAGCCGGGGTCGCGGCCCGCTTCTCGAGTTTTGGCTTTCCGCTCGTCGTTCGTTGGGCAAAGCTCTCTATCTCTGTGGCAGTGCTGATCTCCAGTGTCAGGTTGAGGGCCTCCTCGGCCGAGGCCTGGGTGCGGCTGGCTTGGTCGACTTCGTGGGTCTGCAACTGGGTCAAGACATCGCGTAGGTGGTTTGTGCGCTGCTCGTCAAGGGCCTGTAGAGACTCAAAGATGAAGGGGGCCTGTGCCTCCCACTGCTGGGACGCGTTCTCGAGTCTCGAGTTGGCGGCGTCGAGCTTCTGGGCGCTGACCTTGCCGGCCTTCTTGTTCTGCTTGTCGGCGGCGTGCTGGGCGTCGTCGAGCTCCTTGGCCATGCCCTGCAGGTTGGAGACGAATGTCTGCATGCCCGCCACCTCCTTCCGGGTATGGAAGCTGCGCAGCGGCTGCTCGACGTCCTTTGCGACGCGCATCGCGTACATCTGGTGAGAGGATGCTATCGCCTCGACCGACTGGATGACCTTGTCCCATGGCACCTGGAAGACTCTGTTTGAGAGGGGCACGCCCGTTAGCGTCTCGGATCGCGACCTGGGTGCGAAAAGCTTGGTTGATCGTACCCGAGCTCCGATGCGCCGTTAGGCACCTTGAAGGTCATGAGCTTGCGTAGACCGGCAACATATTGTTCCTCGACTCTGTGGCGTTCCTGCAGCAACCCATAATCGTTTAGCGGTCGGCTCCGTGTTCGTCGCATGGGATTTGGTAGACGTGATTACCTGGAGCCAGTCAGCGACCTCGTTGTTGATCTTGTTGATTCGTTTTACTCGATCGACCAGGGCTTGGGTTGCTTGCGACGGCTGTAGATGTGCCTGGCGGAGAGGTAAACAACGGGTTAGCTCGACCCGAGAAGCCAGGGGGCCGGGACGGAGCGTGGATGAGGCCATACCAGCATGGCCGGGTACTCGGATCGTGACAGGTCCTCCATGGCGACGGAGGGCTCGGCGGCGCAGACGGACAGGTGAGAGTCACAAACGACGGTTGGGGCAGGCGACCTATGGCATAGCACGAGGGAGGTGCCGGTCCGACGGGGCGACGGGCGAGGTGGTCAATTGCCGCATGGACTGGGCGTGGGCTCGGGGGCGATGATGGTACTGTCGCCGTCACACAGCAGTCCGCGATCTGGCGCAAGAATGTGTGTTTTTGGCCTCGTTGGGCGGATACCGATGTGATGTCGATGCCGCAGCTGGAAAAGCTCAATAGCTGGAGAAATCGGCAGCGCAGCGCAGCCAGGCCTCCCCAGCAGCCGAGCGATTACCTCACCTCACTCACTCACTCCGCCAACCGACCCCAGTCTGGAGGCTCCACACAGACCTCCTCCGAATCCCACCCATGCAAGTCCGAGCCGCGCTGGGTCCAGCATCCATCAAGACAGACCAGACTCACTGTTCCCCGCCCAGGCACTCCAGGTCACCTGCGCCCAGGGGCATCTCATCTTTGCCCAGTTTGATGTCATGTTCTCCGTAGCGGCAGTGATCGACGGCTGACCACCAACGTCTTTTCCATCTTCGTCTTGCGCCGGAATCGAGGCTAAGATATTGATTATTGTGTATTGTCCTCACGTACACCCGACTGTGACACATGGTCCAAATAAAAACACGGACCTCTAACAAAGCTCGCCTGTCCTGTGTCTACCTAGGTCCATCGCCTTCCCATCTCCAAGTCGTATTGTCCAGCCCTCCAGTGCTTCGATGGCCAATCCCCACTTTTTCCAACGCAATGGGTCTGCCGCTTCTTCGGCCCGTCCAAGACGTGGTCTAGACACTGGCTCAGGCACACGATCCAAGGCTGTTCCACCCGCACAACTTGGCCGGAACATCAGCTGAGGATCCGAGCCAGCGCACGGCTTGAAGGGCAACCATGTCGGCAGCGCCCGACTGGAGAGCCTGCTTGACGGCAACGGCTAGATACGACAACATCCAGAAAATGCATGCTGACCCCTGATAACCATCACTCCTACGTGTCCTACAACCGTTTCTAACATGGATATATCCTACTAGACAACGGCTTCTGGATAACAAGGAGAATGGTCCACGGCAGATAGACGCATTCACTCTTGAAAACGAGGCATATGCCGGAGCCTCGTCTCTGGTATATCCACTCCGTTGCTTGCAGCTCGAAATCCCTCGCCGTGGCATGCTTTCGTGCTGATAGGCACCCCACAGGCCGAGTATGAAGGTACTTGCGAACGGCCCCCAGGCCTGCAGGCCGGCCAGTCTGCCAATGAGGCCGAGGCCACGGCCAAGCATGGCAATGGCGATGATGGTGACCAGGGGGAGGTTCATGATGAGCCTACGCCAGGAACTAGGATTGGCAAATATCATGACTGCCACTATGTCGGCAGCGGAGTCACTGCAGAAGTCTACCGCTCTGCGGCACTAGCCCTCAAGGTCATCATCGAGACGCACAACATCGCCCCTCACGACCCGGTACGCGAGGCCAAGATCCTCAAAGGCCTCCGCAAGCCATGCATCCCTCTCCTCGAGACCTTTCGTGACCAGGAGCAGCGCCTCGTTCTAGTCTTTCCCTACATGCCCCTCACGCTCGAGACCCTTCTGGAACGCAGCGGGCTCACCACCACCCAGGTCCGCTCGCACTTTCGCGACCTCTTCACCGCGCTGCGGGACATCCACGGCCAGGGCATCATCCACCGCGACATCAAACCGTCCGCCGTCCTGCTGGAGTCGCCCGACGGTCCCGCCTACCTCTCCGACTTTGGCTCGTCCTGGCACCCGCAACTGTCCCCCGCCACACCCGTCGCCCCCGAACCGGCCGACGCCAAGATCCTCGACATCGGCACGGGCCCTTACCGCGCGCCCGAGGTCCTCTTTGGCGACTCCGCCTACGGCGCCCCAGTAGACATGTGGGGCGCCGGCGCGCTGCTCGCCGAGTGCTGCCGCCGCCCGCCGCGGCCCCTGTTCGAGTCGCGGCCCGCGCACGAGGACGGCAGCCAGCTCGGGCTGATCCTGAGCATCTTCAAGACGGTGGGCAGCCCCACCAGGGAGTCCTGGCCCGAGGCGACGCGGTTCCGGACCCCGCCGTTCGACATGTACCGCGCCTTTGAGGGCAGGCCGTGGGACGAGGTCCTGGAAGGGGTTGAGTCGGGCTTTGTGAAGCTGATCAAGGGGCTTGTCAAATACGACAGTAGCCGAGCGACGGCTGAGCAAGTGAGCATCGTCCGCAGTGGAAGGTCTTGTCGCCGATTTTGCCTGGTTATCCTTGTTGGGTGACTGACCACACTGATACAATCACTTATATAGGCCCTTGCCTTTGACTGTTTCGCGGACATCTTTGACCAAGATACCGGGTCTGTATCGAAATGATCTGCTTGGTCGCAGCTTCTCGGGCGCGGCGTGCTTCTTCCCGTGAGATCATCGCCGTTCCATGGCCTTTACATAGTCGATAGACACGCTGTCTAAACACGAGCCCGCGCTTCCACCCACGCCAGTGTCATTTGTTGTGCTCCCTTTTCCCTCTTAAAACCCTTTTTTCCCTGTCCTATAATGTTCTTTCAGCAGCCGTGCATTTCGCATGCGCTGACAAACGTCGTGGTAAGCCAAACCGCTGGACACATTCATCCTTGCTAGCCACGTATTACAGAGCCGCCCCCGTTCCTGGGCCCGCCCCGTTGCTTGGAGATCTCCTCACGACCCCCCTTTTCCCCTCACGCTCGGCCTTCACTCCCCCTGTCCTGGTGCCAAGTCGTGGGCCAGAATCGCCAACATCTGCCCGTCAGTGGGATATGGCGGCGGGGCATTGCCAAATTGCGGTCAGGGTCATCAAGTACTGCACGATTAGGCTGGTGGGGATCCCACCGAGGCATCTTCAGGAGAAGGAGTTGGATAAATAGAGAGATAGATGACCCTTCCTTCATGTCTTCCCTAGGAGAAACCAGCATCCCACGCGCACGCGATTCGCCTTCGCACCCTTCTCCTGTGGACCAGAATAGCGAGCCTGCGCCCGTGACCATCCAGCCCGACCCGAACAAGATGGTGTCCTCCACTCTCGCAGTCAACGGCGCCGTCCTGGCCTTCTCGTGCCTGGGCAGCGGCCCGCTCCTTGTCGCAGTCCCCGGCGCCAACGGGGACGCGGTGGTGTTCGACCGGCTCGCGCCCGCCCTGGCGCGCAACTTCACCGCCTGCACCTACGACCGCCGCGGCTTCAGCCGCAGCACCGCCGAGGGCCCGCAGGACCTGACCATGCCGGCGCGCCTGCACGCCGACGCCGACGACCTCGCCGCCCTCATCGCCCACCTGTCCCCGTCCGCGCCCGCCCTCGTCTTCGGCACCAGCTCCGGCGCCATCGTGTCGCTCGACCTGCTGTCGCGCCACCCGGACGCCGCCGACTTCCTGGCCGCGCACGAGCCGCCCCTGACCGCGGCGCTCGGCGCCGGCGCCGGCGCGCAGGTCCAGGCCGTCTTCGCAAACGTCGCCGACGTCTACGCGGCGCAGGGCGCGGCGGCGGCCACGCGCGCCTTCGCGGGGCCCCTGGACGAGGGCAACGCGGAGTCGGTCGCGGCCCACTACATGTTCGAGTCGCCGGGCCGGGCCGCCAACGCGGACCTGTTCTTCCGCCACGAGATCAACAACTACACCGCTGTCAACTTCCCGCTCGAGCCGCTGCGGGCCGCGAAAGGGAAGCTTGTGTTTGCTGAAAGCGTCGCCAGCAGCCCGCCCGCGACGACCATGACGGAGAACCTGGCCGGGAGCATCGGGGTCGGTGTTGAGAAGACGCCCGCGGGGCATCTTGGCTATGTCGCTAAGCCGGAGGAGTGGGGAGTGAGGCTTGCTGAGATCTTTGAGGCCCACGGGAAGCTGTAGGCTGGGTGTTGGGAGTTAATGATAAGTAGATGATAGGGGTGAGCAACATGTTTTGGGGGTTGGCCTCTGGTACCTTGACTGCGTGCCGCTATTCCGAACCGTAAGGGTCTCGAGGAGCGTCCCGTGAAAGTTCAAATCCTCTATCGACGAGGAAATTAAATCGTTCAGGCTCTTCACGTACCCATGCATCCATTTTAAGGTAGCAAGCGCGAACCTCGTTATATGGATGTTCCCTTAATGCATTTCCCAACTTGATCGGGGGGATGTGAGAGTAGTCTATGTCAAAAACATGCCCCCAATCCCCCCTATACGCATCGTCGGACGCGAGTCCAGGATCACCGATTGCTGACGGGTTTGCACCTGCGTTCAAAAGGTGTATCACCATTGCCCCCCAACCACGCCACATCGCTGCTTGCAAGGGGGTCCACGGCACGTTTCTTGGGTTTGGGGTTATACCAAGTCCGAGTAAGGTGTCGAGCACTTTCTCGCAGTTTTGGCCCCAGTCACTGAATCGATTGCTGCATAGGAAGAAGACTGCCAGGTCCTCAGATCGAGGTCTGAGGCCCCAATCAAGTAGCCGTGTGATAATCCCCTGCTTGGCAATTTGGGGTAGCAAGCCATACAGAGCGACGACGTCCAGGAGCGAGCAGTCAGAAAATTTGCCGAACTGAAATATTGCTGAAACCGCGTTGGCGAGCTCGTTAGGAGGAAGGGCCTCTAAGTATCTCATAGCAACCGTAGGTGCGTTTAGCGCTATCATTCTTGCGCATGCCTCTGCTAGTTGTAGGGGTTCGTTTCCTCGAATAACCAAGAAGGGGACGTAGTTCCCTTCTATTGATGCACCTTCACCCTTGAAATGCTCCTCCATACGAAGCCAGATAGTATTTCCCGCTGAGAGAATCTCGAAAAGCAGACGGTCGATATCTTCGGTTTCTGGAAGCGGTAGAAGATTGTTATAGCGCCACACTGTCAAGAGGAACTCGTCTAGACAGTCGCTGATATGGGCGGTGGCGCTTGCAGAAAATTCCATGGGGCTTCTTCCTAAGCTGGCAATTGTAGTGAGGGTTGCTTTGAACGAGATAGCAAACGCTTGGCTCTCCGTTGTGTGATAGGCGCTGGCCGGGCCCTCCCGGATGCGGGTGGAAAAAAGAAACTCCTTTACAGTGTAATGAGAAAGATAGATATACGGGTCGGCGTCAGAGCTTATTCTGATGAGGCATGAGCACATGCTCTTCAAGTTGTCGAGGGTAAACAACCGGCTGCTCAGTTGTTTGCAGTTTAACGTCGCCTCCCACGTCACCAACCCTAGGATAAAGCTGGCCCGACCAAGCGATACAGGACCTACGAGGCTGCATAGGGTAAGCTGAATCTTTTTCTGGTGTTGCAAGGGTATCTTTGACAAGACGCTTTCGTAGGTTTTGTCCAAGGTCTCGGGGAGGGCGTCGAGTGCCTCAAGGACTTCAGTCTCTGTATCGTAGTTTTGCGTACTAAGGATCTCCAGCTGGCAAGCTGCCCAGCGGAACATCCCCCGGGCTCCCTCCCTGAGCTTCTTTTCCACGGTTTGGAGAGTACCCGTCGGCCATTTGACCAATACCGGATCCACTTGTAGCTGGGTCTGGATAAACCTGCCGATATCCTCATCCACGACATCGTTTGACATCGAGACATCGGTTGCGATGGGAAGCAGTGCGTCCTTGATGTCCTGCTCGTCCCTGCTGGCGACCAAAACTCGCAGTTTATCGAGCCCGGGGGCTGACATCATGCTTTTGAGGCAGCCGAGGAAGTCACGGCGTGAATGCGACTCGTCCAAGCCGTCGATAATGACGAAGACCCTGTTGAAGCCCTGGCAGGTTTCCCGAAGCGAGTTCAACATCTCCTTGACGGTGAGCCGTGCGCCACGGGAATAGCCGCATTCGATATCCACGGGCACGAAAAGTCCTGATTGATGGCAGAGCTGAGATATTACCCATCCGAGGAAGCTCTCCACGTCGTTCCCTGTGGCCCGGGCGTGTGTGCAGTAGTAGTAGGCAACACCGCACAGTGGCTCAGTGTTTTGGAGGGACTCGAGGCGTTTGATGACCGAGGATGACAGGATGGTTTTACCGGCCCCGGGAATGCCCCAGATCCACAAGAGCCGCTTTGTGTCCGCTGGCAGGTCGAGAGACGACCAGCGGTTCCATTCTTCCCATCGGAAAATCCATTGGCAAGTATGCTCCTCTTGCAAGCCGATGGATCTTCGGTGGATGTCGGAGGGATCGACAGTGACCAGCCATTTCAACATGTCTCGTCTTTTTTCCTCTGGTCAGCACGGGATAAGGTCAGCTACGGCACATGTATTTTTAGGGGAGTCTAAGATCCCGGACAAAACTGGATCGATCTGATGCATAAAGCAGAATCCGGGTCAGTGTTACCTGGTGGAACGTTTCTCTGACCCCAAGAGAAGCGAGCACGGATCGTTTCACAGGGGTTTCTTTCCATCGTTGCGTCCAAGACCCCCTTGACTCTCTGATATTGGCTTGTGTCGGTACGCGAGAACTTAACTAGCGTCCGATGATCTCCCTCGATCTGCATCTTGTAGTCATTGCCGTTCTCCCAGTGCCTCCCGATAGTTGAAGTTTGAGGAAGAAGCAAGCGCTCTTGCCCAGACTGTTGCGAATGGAGAGGAAATGATGGTTATTGCCAGGTCAATGCGGGTAACGCAGGCAGGGAGCACTCACCTTGGTGACCCCTTTTGTCGGCAATGCCTCGTAGAACTGATAGATTGTCGAGTCTTTGTACGGGAAAGCTTGGTCGAACTGTGTGTTGAGGGTCTGCCTCATGCGATGGAGGAAGTTTTGGTTGAGAAGTGCGGCCGTAATGCGCGCTGGAAGCCTGCCGGCCATGACCTCCATATCTTCAGTGTCCATGCCTTGGCTCGGAACGGCGAAGAAGAAGACGTCGTGGATGCACTTGACAGTCTTCTGGTCCCCGGGAAAGATGGCGGAGTTCGCCATGGAGACTACGGCGTCTTTGAAGACCAGGCCTCCCAGACTGTGGACGATGAAGATCAGGGGCTTGAAGTTTGCGTTTCCCTGTGGTAATGGCACTTGTTAGAGGCCTAGATAACGTAGAGAGGTGATGCATACTTGAGGGCGAGAAACAAGCGGAAATGATATAGAACCATACGAACGCATGTCAAATTGACAATAATAGAGGAACAACAAACCCTGGTCATGGACCGATATGCCCGCAAGTCACTTCGGAATGAATCTGCCCACTCATGGATGTCCCCGGAGGCATTGGGGTCGTCGAAGTGTGATCCATACCCGTAGGTTAAGACGTCAAGTTTCGGGAAGTCTTGTGGCAGCCAGTCTCGGATCCAGACGTCTGGAAATCTTTGTGCCTTGAACGCAGCCAGGGGGTGGGAGCCGAAGCCGTGAATCACAATGCAACTGGCCCACGCCATGGCAGTCAGCAAACGGCTCGTTGGATACTGCCCGACAAGAAAGCTTACTCGATGCCTTTTCTCCCTTTTGCCGACTGGATGGCGAGCGGGGTGAGTGGCGTAAACCCCAGGAGCTGCTGGTCGACCTTGATGGGACGGTAATTACAACCGTCTGGCATGTGCAGATCGATGGCTTCGCGCAGTCGCTTTGCACGCGGGCACACGTTAGTGTCCCAGAATACAGGTTTACGGGAAAATGTGACGGTGGCAGTGATGGCGGATTCTTGGTTGGCAGCATCGACTCGAGAGAATGAATGGACGTGGATCTCGGTACCAGTCAAGCCGCAGGGCCACGAAAAGAATGAGGGAAACATGGCAAGGGCGACATTGTGCGGGATGTTCTGGACACGGAAGATGTTGCTTGTATCGTATGCTTCTGGCGGCAGCGGCTGGGGATCCATCGCGAGTTCGTCGCCGGCAGAAAGGCGAGGGGAGAGTTGGTAAGGACCTAGATACAGGTATCGGGAAAGGAGTAAGATGCCGAGGAGGGGATATGGAAAGAATGAGGAGCCTTCCCGACAACTGCCCGTCACCGACTTGTCTGCTTAGTTCCTCTTCATAAGGACGCCTGAGCCCACCATGATGCGTACCCCTCTTTCTCTACTTCTGCATCGTGTTGGGCACCAAGGCGCGCCACACCACACATGCGCCCCCTGATTGGAAGATCCGCAATCCTCATCTCGGGACAGGAGATGCCTGGTTGGTCAGCGTCAGTCTCCATCTGCGCCCGGCTTCGCTGTGGCCTGCAGCTTCGGAGGGGCTGCTAAAAATGCAGAAAAAGCCACGGAGGGGCTTTGCAGAGCCTGCAAGGACGCGTCTCGGGATGTCTTTGGCGGCAAGGGTTTTTGGCTCTGACGGTTTGCCTACTTAGTACGCCTGAAGCCCCCTGGAGGACTAGGTTTCTATTAGCTAGTGCCTATGGTGCGAAACATGAGAGAAAAGCTCGCTCGTGGCCAGCTGGACTTGCAGTAAACCAGCGGCACTCCTTCGATAGTCAGGGTAGACGGGGGCGACCAGCGCAATACCCATGAGAGGGGCTTCGGCAGGATGAAGCCCCCATTCCAACAGTGCCACGAGCTTGTCGGCGATACCGCGCAGCCTGACACAGCCACAAGCCACCTGCCCGGGTACCCAGCAATCTCCCTAGCCGACGGGGACGGGCTTGCCGAGTTCCTCTCGCAGGAGTTCATCTCGGCGCTGCAGGACAAGCTGGCGCCGCGCCTCTGGTGGATGTCCAAGCAGGACAGCGGCAGCATCTCGCCGCTGCACCGCCAGGCCGTGAAGCGGCGGACCATCGTCGTGACGGAGGACCCCAAGCTGCACCTCGTCTGGATCCGTGACCGCATTTTCCTAAAGCCGCTCCCCGCGTACCTCGCCAACCACTCCTTCTGGGAGAACCACCTCGCGTGCCGGACGGCACCGCCGTGCAGCCCTGCGTCGACCATCGGCGGCTCGGCGGTGCAGCCCACCGCCGCCGCCGACCACCACCACCACCCGAACTCGCTCCTGCACGTCCGGAAAGCGGCGCTCGGCTACCTCCGCACCTACACGCACCTGATCCGGCACGAGTCCGACTTCCGCGTCGCCACGGACCCGCAGCTGCGCCTGCTGCCCGAGGGCACGACGTGGGCCGGCTTCTGCCTGTTCGCGGCCGACGTGCGGGCGGCCGTCGCGGATACGGACGTGTCGGAGCGGTACCGGTACGGCGAGGTGCGGCTGACGCGCCTCAACCTCTACACGCGCCTCCTGGTCGGCATGCACACGCGGTACCAGTCGCTCGAGCCGCAGTACTCGGAGTACTTTGCCCGCATCTACGGCCCCGTGCTCTTCTGCATCGGGGTGCTGTCGCTGGTGCTGAGCAGCCTGCAGGTCGTCGTCGGCGCCGCCGAGCCGCTGGCCGCCGACGCGAGGCGCGCGGTGCTCGAGGTCGCCTTCTGGTTCGCCGTCTTTGCGTGCCTCGTCTTTTGCTCCGTGGGGCTTGGGATCGGGTTCGTGTTTGTGTACAAAGTAGCGAGGGAGTGGAAGTACGCGCTCGGGGACAGGAAGCGGCGCCTGCATGAGAATCAGAAGAGGGAGGCTGGCCAGCCAGCTTAAGGCTGAGGTGACAGGCTGAGGGAACATGAATATGACGTGGTTCTATTTGGTTGTCGGCAAGAGAAAGCCTCACAAACACGGCGTCTGCGCGAATCACGTGTCCTTCCTGACAGGTGATTTCCGGATCATAAGTATGGCTTCCCCAATGATGCCCTTGAGCTCGCAGACATCTTCAAAGCCAACAGACATGTATGCCTTCCTCCCAACATCGCTGGCAATAATGAAGGTGTCCGTGCCTGTCTTATCGGCCTCTGCCAGCCCCCAGCGCAGAAGCGTCGTCGCCACCCCTTTCCTCTGATGCTTGGGGTGGACAGCGACGACGGTCGCGGCTATTTACGGGAAGAAAAGTCAGCACGACTTAGCAATTCTCAAAGCTGCACCACGGGCGCAGAAAGGTCAAATCCAGTCACCCACTCCACATGGCCTTGGCCTCGCCCCCGAGCCCGCGCTCGACCAGCGCCCCCAGCTCGGCGCCGTTGGCGTCCATGACCGAGGTGTCGACGCAGGCGGGCCAGGTGGCGCGCTGCGCGGCCGTCTCGGCCGCCTTTTGCTCCTCGGTCTTGCCGGCGCCCGGGTCGACCTCGGTCAGGGGCTGGCGCCAGCAGGCGACGCCGGCGATCTCCTCGGAGCCGGACTCGTCGTCGCGGCACACGACGACCAGGCGGTGGATGCCGGGGGTGTCAAACTCGACGCGCGACCGGCCCAGGAACCAGTCGTCCATCAGCGTCCGCTTCTCCTCCTCGGTCGCCCTGTGCCAGATGGCCCCCGTCAGCGGGCTCATGACGAAGGCCGCCTTGGCGACCTGCCCCGTGGACTCCAGGTCCTCGAGCGTTTGACGTCGGAGTATGTACTGCGCCGCCATGATTCTGGGTGCGGGAGGTTTTGGGTATAAGAGAGCAAGGCGGAAGGTGGATTATGTGGGTGACACGATTTTGAAAGCAAGTCGCATTTTATTGAGTTGGAATAGGGAGATGACTGGCTCACGACTTATATAGAAATGTCTCGGCATCGGGCTCGGTGGACTTGCTGCTGACCGCCAAGATGAATCATCCGGCGTGTATTTTCGGGGTACAAGTTCCGAACACGAGAGCCGTCAGCGGGTCGACATTCTGACGAGCCTTACCGGACACAGAGCCCAAAAAGGAAGCTTGATCCTCAGCCGGCCCCGTCGCCCGTCACAAATCGCTGACTCTCAGGCGGGGTTTGGCTCAGATTCGGACCTGGGTTTCCAGCTTCTGGCGCGAGAGAAGAGGATACACGTGCGTAAAATCCACGTGGCCTTTCGGGCCACGCACCCAGGCAATTATTGCCTCATCGCCTTCCACCCCTTGTAGTGCTCCTCCAGAGTCTCCTCGAGCGGCGTGTACTCCACCCCGAGCTCCTTGACGCTCCTGCTGTTGTCCACCTCGAACCTGACCCCAAGGTTCCGCCCCAGCCACGCCTGCGTCAGCCCAAACAGTGGGCCCAGGACTCGCACCAGCGCGTCAGGCACGCGGTGCGTCGGGATGGTGAGTGAGCCGCCGCCCAGCCCGCGGAAGCTGCGGGCGACGTCGACAAAGGCCGCCATCTCGGCCGCCGCGACGATGTATCTGCGCTCCGCGACGACCGAGGCGGCGGCGGCAGCGGCCTTGGCGTGGGCGGCAGCGACGTCGCGCACGTCGACGGTGCAGAAGTAGAGGTTGGGCACGCCGAAGAATAGGTCGCCGCGCAGCAGCTCGTCCATTAGGAACAGACTGCCCGACTCGGACCCGCGCGACAGCGGCGGGCCCAGCACCAAGCCCGGGCAGATGACGACGAGGTCCCACCGCGCCTGCTCCTTCGAGATCCTCCAGGCCTCCTTCTCGGCCAGGACCTTGGAGTAGTGGTACGGGTTGTGCGTCACGGTGCTGGTCTCGTTGAAGTGTTCCTCGGTGAGGACGCCGCCCATGCGGTCCGTCACGTCGGCGTAGTCGCCGAATACGGCGCCGACTGGGGCGTGCTGTCAGCAAGCCTCGTTGCCAACCAACAAATCGGGGGGATGGGCATTACCCCTCACCTGAAGACGTAAGCACAACCCTCTTGACCGACTCGGTCTCGTTGACGCTCGCCAGCACGTTCTTGGTGCCCTCGAGCGCGGGCTCGACGCACTCCCTCTGACCGTCCTTGATCTTCTCGGCCATCATGAAGGGCGAGGCGACGTGGTGGACGACGGAGCAGCCGCGCATGGCCTCGGCGAAGCTGCCGGGCCGCAGCAGGTCGGCCTCGAAGAGCTGCAGCCGGCCGTCAGGGTGCTTGGCCTGCAGATCCTTGAGGGCTGAGACCTTCTTGGCCTTGTCGAGGCTGCGCACCGTGGCGCGCACGACGACGCCCTGGTCCAGCAGCAGGCTGACGAGGTGCTGCGCGATGAAGCCGCTACCGCCCGTCACAAGATGGGTTTCGCGGGCGTCGCCCGGCTGGGTGGTGTTTTCTTGCATGGCCTATCGATTCTTGTTGGCGGGCCAGTTGGAAGAAGTCGTTCGGCGGGTTGGATGAAGGGAAGTCAAAATCTGACGGGAAGTTAATGCTGGCTTGGGCGCCGTTGGCGCCTGGTCGCGCGTAGACCGTGCTGAAATTGCTTAACTTGACCGCTGGACATAGACGCCACTAACGCCCGATGACTCCAGCCGCCCGAATCAATAGTGGCGATTTCTACCGTCAGATAAGCACATTGATGTGGATTGCACATAGACTTATGCTGTCCGGATGCTATACAATCGCACCCACCCGAAAATACAAATCTTTTGCACGCAAACCCCTTCCGCACCGTAAATCTTGGAATGTCATCTCGAAGGTCCAAGGCAAACAATGCCACGTTCCAATCATCTCGAGTCTCGACGGACCAGAGCAATCAAGCCTGGATGCGTCCTCGCTTTCGGCTCACTGTTTTAGTTCATGCCTGTTGTGGGCAGTGCAGCAACACATGGGAGCCGAGACCGAGGACAATGGCAATGTTAAGAACTTCAGCACCGGGTCCCAACAAAGGATACGGGATAGCCAGCCACATCAAAGAATAAACTTCTTCTATTTTTGGTCTTTCTATGTTCTAAATCAAAGGCTAAGTCAAAGCCTTCCCTGCCCACACTGTTGGGTTTCTCCGGTGTCATTCCCAGGCCAGTATATATCCGCCCCCTCTATAACTCCCTGATCATGTTCTTCAGCCCTTTATCACACCATCCAGCAGACACTTCGCCAGATATTCATCACAAGACATCTGTCCCTCGGTATCTTCACCTTGATATCCCAGTCTACTCGGCATCACGCTGTCGACTCTTCCCTCACCACCTCTCGACCAACTAGTCGTCGTGGAAAACAACACCATGGAGAGCCACAAGACCACCCAGTCTGCCACCCAGGCCAATACGGCCACCACCGAGCTTGTCACCCAGACCAACATGGCCAACACTGAGTCTAACACTCAGGCCAACATGGCCACAAGCTCCACCGCACCCGCCAACGCGGCCGCGCCGCACAACCCTACGCCCTGCCACATCTGCGCGCGCATGCGGGCCCGCAGGCCGGCGCACGTCGCCGTTCTCATGGGCCGCTGGGCCGGCGAGGTCGTCGAGGGCAAGCACGCCCACCTCGAGACCCAGGGACCAGTCCGGGACTGCATCCTGTGCGCCCGCAAGTACTGCGAGGAGCACAAGGGCAAGGACGAGGGCGTCTGCGAAATCAATCACCAGACGTACTGGGACAACCACAAGCGGCGGGTGCCCGAGGGCACAATCTTCAGCTCTCTGTGGCACCTCGAGGGCTACAAGCGCATCAAGCAGCTGGAGGCGGATGGTGAGCTGTAAAGGGAGTTTCTTTCCGGGACCCCTTGAGTAGTCTCTGAGAATTACGCATCTTCCTGTTCTCTGGTCGACCCCTCGGCGAAACCACAGCGCTTCGATGCGCGACTTCACTGCCTTGCCCTTTACGCAAGGGCGAGCCTTCGGCCCCCAGTATGCTTTAGAAGTTATCCTTCTTGGGATGACTAATTACGCCATGTTCTGAAGTTTACCATGTTTTGCGATGTTTTCCTTTTTAATTCTATTCCTCGTTTATCTTTCTGGATTTCCTCCTTCTCCCTTCCACTTTTCCTTAGGCAGCAATTCTTTTGTGGCACTTTTCACCCTCTGTCGTTTGCGTCTTTTTAAATACGCCTTTTGATATCCCTTTTCTTGGAAGCAGAGTTTTGTTTCGGCCCAGATTGTTTCATCATTACCTAGGTAGTCACCAGAACCCGAAGATTGCCCAGCTTTGTAGCTGACCCCAACTGCAATGTTCGGATTGAGCGTCCAGCACGAGCTTAGCGCCGTAATGCCAACCTTTTCCACCCTGTCATGTAGCTCCTTGATAAAGCTAGGGAGCATCGTTTCTCGTTGCAATAATTTGCCAGTCCTATTCTTTTCTTCATGGCACTCCTCTACAGTATCAATCTCAGCCATGGGGCATAGCTACAGTGCTAGTGACAGAGGGGACGGGGATAGACGGGCTGAGAATGAAGTCACAGCTAAACACGACCCCAGCGGAAATTCCCGAATGTATGCTATACATGCAAGTTTTTCAGTGCGGCGATACGCCCCTGTGATCACTATCCGGGCTTTATTTTTGTAACCGAATCTAGGGCCGCCCCTCGCCTTCCGGAAGTCGGGTAGAAACGTGACAGGCATGCGCATAAGGGGACAGAAAGGGCATGGTGACGGTGATAGCTAGAAGCCGAAGGGCTTCGCACAAAACTCGGCCTCCCCGGTGGACCCGTGTTTTCGGGGGGGG